TTAACACGCTGTAATGATCTTAAAGATATGCAAGTCTACGTAGATGGAAACAAATAAAACTGTATACACGCTAACTATTAATACAAGTGAAGCAGTTAGCATGCTGGCCTAGTTTATCAAGTATTGAATTTTCAACTGCAGCTGTCAAATTTAGACAGCAAAGGGAACAATAGTGAATGTGGAACATGCTTGGTGAGCAGACAACAATAGATTGTCTACCGGACCTACAGCAGGTTCCCTCTATAAGTCTGATATTCCTTGAAAAGTGGAGCTTATTTAGGGCTGGAGAGAAGAGAAATACCAACTAAAAAGCGGTCGGTGAAACAGAGTGACAGGTTCAGGTGTACTTCCGAGCCGAGTTAGAACCGCAGAGCACGCTAACATGAATTGAAAATTTAAATACTAGGGCTTCCTCATTCGGCGGCATAATCCGGCTTCTAGGATCTGGCAGCGGTCAGAGTTCCCCGTCAAGACAGGGACGCATCGAGCAACAAATATAGCTTTAACCAGATGCTAAGTGGCTTGGAATAGATAGCTTTAAAACAATTCCGGTAAATGTCAACATTAAGGCTGTATTATTGCTCCAAATAATATGAATTTCAAGGTGAATATTTCATGCATATTAAAGATCCGAACTCTCAACGCTTCGTAATCTAGAAAAAGTAGTATAAAAAGAAACGTAATTAATAAATATAGAAACGGAGTCTAAGCAGATTGGCAATAAATTATCTGTACTGAAATTTATTATCAATATCATGCATTAGGTGAACGTCAAGATGAGACATCAAACTAAGAAAAAGAGCAATGAATAGTACGTTAAATTTGACATATTGAGCATCCCGTTGATAAGATGATATCGGTCGATATGGACAATATGGAGCCCGTAATAAAGTGTTAATGAGATAATCAATTAAACAGAAAAAGGAGATGAAAAACAGGTTACAATGTACCAAAAAACTCGAGTCGGAAGCCTTTCAAGTTATAGGTGACTGACACCGAAATAAACTGGCCAATCAGGTGTAAGCGCCGAACACGGGCAAACCGCGCACTCATGGGCACTACCACGAAGAAAACCATTACTGCAAAACACTGTAAATTAGATGGCAACACCTCAATATCGGTTAAAAACAATCAACAATTCAACAATACCACAAAAAATATGAAATCTCCGTGAAGCGCGTGTGCCCAAGTGTAAGAATCATGTAAGCACTAGGTTAGTGCAAGTATAAAGTTCTGGGGTACAAATCGTTGGCTATGGGAGAAACTGTGCCGTGATTTGTGAAGCAACTAGCAAGACAATTACATGTTGGAGTTATTTGAGCAATCATTAACTAGTTCCCCATCAACTGAAACACAATACATGTCAGCCGGGGCTTAAGAAACTAATTATTGGTGATAGAATATCAATTAACACTGATTGCATGTGACATCACTTAAATTGGAAATTCGGCCCAGGGGGATTTCCGTAATTTTATATAATAGGGAAAGGAGTAAAACCATTAGGAGGACAAAGGCGTCTGTAAAAAACAATCTGCGGAAACTTTAAAATATCCGTTTGTTAGAAAAGAAGTGGGGCTCCAGAAGATTCTCGTCGTGATTTGGAAACTTGACAAATGTATGGTAATCGGTCGACTGTCACAACAACAGTACTTCCGTCAGGAGAGAAAGATTACAATAGTCTGAATGAAATGCCACAATGGTGATGGTGCAAATCAAACTGACAGCGTACAACTACAAGTACAAATAAGGGGAGTACACAATGTACAGTACATATCTGCAATAATACTGCAAGGTATCCGTAATGCAATAAGAAAGCAAAATATGAGCGGTCTAGGTCTAAAGATGGTCCCGCCGTCCAAAGTCAAATATCAAGTATCTACACTACTTATCGGGTATCTAGAGGGTACCCGGTACACGTCCTGAAACACGGCCAGATACATAATATATGTACATCCTACAGTACGTGATAAAAAGTGGGGTATGGCTAGTTCCTAGAATCAAAACCGCAAGATTGTAGGATCCTGCAGGCTGCAGCAGCCCCCTGCGGGCTACCTCACTAACACCCGCCCATTTATTCTAAACCCTACAATCTGCTGCTGAGTGGATAGTTTTAAAAGTTCCATCATAGATATTATTGTTAAGCATAGATATTCAAAAGGGTAACATAACATGGGGTTCAAGGAATATGTACACGTCAAAGCGTGGCATTTACATGGACATACTTTAGAATGGATCGCATATTCTAATGAAAACTCTAAGCAGGTTACACAAAATTTTGCAGACTGCAGCAACGAAATTACATTAGCGTTGGGATAAGATTCAGAGTCAGGCGAAGCTAGGACTGTTGTCGAATGAGCGCGTGTATTTTTAGAACTTGTTCGGAATCCGATAATTTGCTCACCAAATTGCTAGATAATGGGTAACGTAAACCAATACAACCCCAATTACGGCCATTAAAATGACGGGTCATCTAAACATGGTAAATAGGAATTATACTGGGTTCATTACTCACACTAGTAACGACGTAATGAGAGAAAAGGGAGATAACTAATTGAGTGTTCATGATTCATAACCAGATTTGGTAGAGAAGTTTCGATTTACACAACAAATCTTCACTAAATCTATTATCCGAACAGATCATGGTCAAGAATAGAAACGCCACGAATTCATGAGCAGCGAACAATGGATCAATGATGTCCGTCAAATGGAGGATGAGTCAATGAGGTGGCATGCTTAGTGTGCTCCTAAAACCTAGTTCCAGTTATACTTCCGAGTACAGAATACAGACTCATCTTCTGCACATACCAGACGGTTATGTGCGATGATTTGTCAATTTGAGGACGAAAAGTAAGAGTCAGCTATCTTGACTGCAACAGTAATCAGTAATGAAAAAATTATTGCCCGTCCAGCCTTTAATTTAACCGCATATAACCGTTTTAAAAGTCCAACAAATTCTCAAGAAAATACACCCACTTTAAACGATAGAAGCAACGGATTATAGTGAACGTTCTAATATTATGCAAATAATCAGGGATATTATACATATAAAAAGGGGCTCAACGTTGGCGGTCAGGACTTCATGAATCAGGACAGGCTCCCTCCCCGAATCAACGAAGCTATGGCGGTACTACACAAACGGATCAACAAAAGTCGGGCAGCTTTTGTTCCGCCCCTGTGGAGTCAATCCGTAACAAGGTGAAGTTGGAGCGGTAGATAGAACAGGGCTCAAATTAGGTTAAATTGCTAAACAGCCAGAGAGAGAGAGAGAGTGGGAGACAAGTTCGTTTTGAGAACACCTACATTCGGTCTATGTAACTTGATTAATTAATTAATTAATAACTGTCTGTGGATAATTAATAAACCAGTTAATACTATACAGTGGCGAGGGAAGTTTGTCAAGTTCAATTAACAGCTCGGAGGCGTTCAATAAAGGTTATGCTGTTAAATGTTTTGACGGCTGTGTCTAGGTGAAAAGAAACTATCACTGAAATATCCACCTGTTGCATAATACATAAAATAAAATGCAAAATACATTTAAAACTGAAATCGGAATATGCGAGAATATGCGAGATCGTAGCTCGACAGAGTTTTACTAATAAAATTAAAACATTCAAAAGCTGGAACAAAATGTAGTGCAGCGAATAGGAAATAGGCGGTAAGATGATCAACAGAAGCTCAGGAGCTAATTCGGAGACCTGAACACGTGATGACGTCACGTTACATCTAACGTGACGTCACGTGATATTTACCCGATATCTCTCGCGCGTTACCAACTAGATACAGGACACAGATCCTGATGTAGGACGTTAGAGCGGCGGATTTGTCACGTGACGACGAGTTGTACTATCACCGGCAATGACCTGACTGTCGGGAGGTGATGCACAAATCATCATCATGATGACAAACATATGCTATGTGGTCAGCCTAAATACACGTTGTAATAACAGGTTACTGCCACCGCATAGTGGAACCTTACTCAAATCATCGAGTTTTGTAGTGATGGCACTCGCTTATAACACTAAAATTCGAACTATCTGGGAATAAACAAATCAAAATTAGGAAGCAGATACGGCACTAACGTTAGATCGGGAAAAGAGGAAATATACCAAGGACAAGTTGTGAGTGAGGCTGTTATGTACACATAATGAGATCAGAATAGGTGAGGTTATGTACTAACAGTTTAGACCAAAAATGGCAAGACAGTTCCCTCTGACCAAGCATTGCCGTCAGAGGGAGGTCTCCTACTTTCGAGAGGGAGGTGTCTTAGTCCGAAGTTAACTGTGCATATTGTCAACTATTATAGAAAGTTAACTAAGTTAAAGTTAGAAGAATTTGTTGAATTTATAATAGCGACACATTTTTAAGTTTTCACGGTATTTATAAATGATATTGCTAAAGTTATAGCATGAATCGATATAGTTGACACGAGGATAGGTTTGACTGTACCATGTCTAAAAGGATCAAACAACTGTTTGTCTCTAGATCCCAACTGTTTGTCTCTAGATCCCAACAAGAGCAAACACTAAAGCAGTTGGAGCAAACACTCGAATAGTGGGAGGTTGTGATGCAGGTCAGGCTGACCTGCATCACAGAGCTGGCTTCTCTTTAAAGGAGAGAAGCCAGCATTATCCAAGTGCAGTGAAACCGGCTACAGTATCGACACTAAATATTATGTCATCAGACAAGACATACCCCGGATCAGACGATGGTTTCCTCGATTTAGAAAGTCTGAACAGAACCAGCCTAGTCTAGAATATGAACTATGTCTGGGTGGCCAGCCAACAGCCTCAAATCAGGCGCCTAAACGAGACTAAAGAGTGCCTGCAGTCCTGCACCCGCTACAACTGGAGCACTGAGCAGAACGTTCCTAGAATTTACATGATTTCACCCTCTCGTCTAACGAGGAGTTACGTTACTCACGCCGAAATTCGATCAAACTCGACCCACTATATTTCACCGGAGATCCAAGTAAAAATGATCTGAGATAAGGTGGAACTAACCTAGCGGTAACTAAACGGAAGTCTAGACTGCAGCACGTGTCGTTAGTTGTTACAGTGTTCCGTCATCTCCAGATCCAAATCATGTTACAATCTTTCATTAGAGGGACTGGGACCCGTGATTGTATATCGGCTTCCCTGGGGAGGAAATGAAATATTATTGAGCGACTGATAAACTTTACTGTTATGTCAAAAAGTTAATAATTTCCAGGATTACTATTTTATGACCGTCCGCGTCATAGTCGGAAACATAGTTATGGCTGACGAACAATTAGGAAAATACTCTTGAAAAAATGAAAATGTTATTCGTTAATTTGGCAAGTTCAGTAGACAGAATACATAAAAGTCTCCTTCAATGAAGATGCATGTATAAATAGTTGATCAGGAAATACATTCCCAAGCTTCACTTTTCACAGTTTGACTTGGGAATTTGTTTAATCTGGTTGCTCCACTAATATTATTCCACAATTAAATAGTCTATATTAATTACAAAACAATTTATCATAAACAGTATTCTAAATTATACCTTGACAAGCTGCTTGTTTCTGTGGCCAGGTATTATAACCCCAGCTTTATCTGACTCCTGATTACCGTTTAGCAGCCGTCCAGTGACCATGTTGTTCATAGTGGTGCTGTCCACTTTGGGTGAGTTGTTCCTTTCTATCATGCTAGAAAACCAGTTGTTCTGTTAATAAAGCTATAGTTACAGCTGTACTACAGTACAATAAGGGCACTCAGTAGAGTGACCAAGTGTGACAATTGTTAAGGTGTAATATTATGTAATAACGTTAAAAAGTATAAATTGCCAAATGCCACGAACACTTTTAACATCTTTCTGCATCTGAATGCCGACTTGAAGTGTGGCTCGAACTCAACAATACTCCACAGTGGTCGGTGGTTATGCAGACTGTATGTACACCCCAGGGACCCCCACTATCAAGGACATTCAGGTAGGAGTTCATATAACTGGGAGAGGGGAGGGGCCGGGGTGATCACAATTTGGTGCCCCAACCCTCACCATACATTGTGGCAAGATCAGGTCGACATTTTTGATGACTAATTTGTTTAGGCAAATAGGTACAATGGCCGGCTGTTAGAGGGCTATTAGTAGGCTGTTACCGTAACAGCTGGCTAATAGTTTAATAAGACAATCATTGCAATTAGTTGATTAGAAGCTTTCAACCAGACCTTTATAGTCAACGATGTTAACAGGCCATAAAGCAGGGGCCAGTTCATTGGTATACTAAGATTCGATTGAATAAAGACAGTTCATTCAAACCAGATTTGTTAAATTAGTACTAATTTGCTTAATTAGACAATTACTGCAATTAATGGATTAGAAGCTTTCGACTAGACCATCTCTTATGGTCAACTCTGTTAACAGGCCAGAAAGCAGAGGCCAGTTCATTGGTATACTAAGATTGAGTAGACAGTTCATGAAAATCAGATTTGTTAAATTAGTACATTAATTCAATTAGCGATTTAGAAGCTCCAGCTCTGTTAACATATCATAAGTAGGTGGCCAATTATTAGTTCATTTATAGGAGTTGACGTCGGAATGTTTCGTTAGCACTCGCAGTTTCGGAAGATTCAATACCTTATTTATTAAATTAGACCCAATTATGCCATAGGTATTTTTAGATTGAGGATTACGACAGTTCATTCAATCAAGACTCCTATTTCCTATAGCATTCCTATTCAATGTTCATTCCTAACTCATAATTCCTCGTGCAGTTGATGAGCAAACCAGGAGGAAACTGGCCAGTGAAGATAGGAGGTTTCACGCACACACCTCTTAGAGTGCAGTATGTAAGGGGAGAGGAGAAATTCGTTCTCTACAACATCTGGAGTGAGTAGTCATTATAGATAGGGAATGACTCTCGGGGTTATTATTCGAGAGAAAAATATTGTGGATTTCGATTAGGTCGATCAACATATTTGTAGGTAATTTCAAAAAATTGAAACTTTATGATTGATCTTAACAGCACCTCCGTCTGGATCCTCGGTAGCAAAATGCAAGGGTGACAAGAACTGTGCCCCAATGAACAAATGGTTCTGGATCGAAGGAGACTCCGACAACCCAGTGCTCGGCAAGAAAGGAGAAACAATCGACCCCAAACGCAGAAAATACATCGCTCTAAACAGTGAGTTAATTGCTCTGCGAGTGGTAATTGTTCAAAGTTCAAATCATATTATTCATAGGAAGATAAAAGAAGTCAAATGAATCAAATGAAACAGATAAAAACCAAATAACTATCACTTTCAGTTGGCATTCATCACACAAAAGGATCAAATGGAAAGTACGTGTGGAGACTGGACTGCAATAACTGCTGCTCCAAATGAGTAAATAAACGCCAAGATAGACAGGACGGGCGTGAGGAATGAAAAGAACGCGATTGACTTAGGATTATAAACGCATTATCATACCTATTGGGCTATTAAAAATAAAATATGTTTTGATCTTCAAAGAATTGTTTTCTATGGAAATGAAGTCTAGTCATATATGGCCATATATAATAGATTGTTAGTTCTGAATGTATGGAATCATGAAATTGTATCATAATATCGTTTCAAGCGCTGTCGTCAAATCTCAAGCAAAGCCCCATTTGATCCTATATGTAAAAAGTAAACACCTTAAAATTGTAAATTAATAAATTAACTTAAGTTCCCGACTGTCATAAAAATTAAAAAGTATAAATCTAAATAGCAGAACTCTAATTCACGCTTCTTTGTATTTAAATCTGTCGAGAATAGTCCTTGGTTCCTCAACGATACCCTCTTTTTCATTCTTCACTTTTTCCAAAGCCGCTCTGACCTTCACTCGTTTTTCGTCGTGTATATGAATTTCCCTGAGAGAAAACGTGGAATCAGAAAAATCAAACATTCCTATAGAAGTTATAAAAACGTTTGGCTACAAACTTTTGGCCCAAGATTATTAGTTTCACACAGTTTCCAAGAATTTTGATTGAATGTTTAAAACATAATTTACCTCCGGTGGAAACGTCGCTTTGCTGAATTCTTGCCCTTCATTTTGAATTTTAACACAAGTTCTTTGTGGTCTAGAGAGTCAAGAGGCTTCTCTAAGTCCTCCACTTTCATGCGGTGTATGCTACCTTGATCCAGTGTAATCAACTCTGGCTGAATCTGACGGAATAAATTATTTGATTCATTTTAACCTAGACAAATATTTATAGTTAAAAAACTCATGTTGAGATTGGGGACGCGACGTGTGTGGCTACCAATGAATCTTTAAAATGTACAAAAAATAGGTCACATTTTTCGGGAAAAAATGTAAAAAATTTTCGTTTTTTATTCTCTTCGTAAAATAACACGAACGAGGCCAGGAGATCACAAACCTTGTTCAACAGCATTTTCACTTCGTTTTCCTGCTTCTGTCGCTTACTTTCAAACGGATTAAGTTCAAGAGCGTCGTAATTTGCCTCTCCGGCACCTGTGAAAAAATTCCAGTAACATTCCGGGGATTCCAGGAACAAATATACTTCATAACAATATACTCGTGAGCCAACCGGAAAACTTGAAGTTCGATTTATTAGCACACGTGAAAGTCGAGTGGTAGTTCGTCATCGAATTGGCGTTAAACTTATACTGTTTAAGATTATCTATTTTTATCCAATACCATAAACAAACCTGGAATAAGTAAACTGGTAAAGCCCTTAGAGTGTCCTAAACCCAAAACATCTTCAAAATTAGCAAAGTCCAGACCCTCGATCACGGCGCCTTCAACCAGATGGGTCATATATGGAGCTTTCTGCTTCGTTTTGAAGGCATCTTTCCAGACCTGTAACAGACCTCGGACTAGTTTTTCGTTAAATTCGGCTCTGACGTAAACTTAAACTTGGTTAAAAGTTGTAACGACATTTAACTGGAAGTTAAACGCTGTTAGCCCTTAACGTGGGTTATTAACACTGACAAGTTTCGAAGCGATTGCAGCGAGTAATGACGTCTGAACAGAGGTGATCACTGAAGTGCACGTGTGCGCGGCTCACCTGCACCTGACCCCCGAACGATACCGCCACCAAGCCAGTTTGGGAGATAGCCAGGTTGGATCCTGGTCTATGAGAGTAGTATGACAGCGACTCCTTGTACGTTCTGGCGTCCCAGACTTTCATTTGTTTGTCCAAACCACACGTCACCATGTGCCTGAAGGAGGACAGTGTTATTACATGCCTGTTATTGTCTCTACAATACGTTTAAACATTAGTAACATGGTTTTATTACGGAGAGGAAAGTTAAAACTTAAAATTCACGTTTTAAAGATATTGTCCAACAATTCAATTATAAATATAAGGAAAACTTCAATTGCAATGACCCAAACAATCACGTTATTATAATTTGGGAATAAGTAAAATCGATTCAAGCGCGAGCCTAATATTCGAACCTGCCAGAATTATCTACAGCCAGAGCGGTGACCGGACCATGATGACAAAGCATCTTGACCAGGGGCTCCTTCATGCTGGGGCTCCACATCGTCACTGTTCCGTTAGAGTGCCCTGTCGGTAGTTTTTGAGGAATGATTACTTAAGTATTTAGTGGGGAAAAAGGGGCCACATTGTTAACAAGAAATGAGGCATGAGCAGGGTAGTGTGTACCGTGTAAATGAACACAGCAATTTCATGAAGAAAAAAAAACACGACCTAAGACCTGCATATAAATGAAAATCTTACCATGGCTCTAAATATTTAATATCTAACGATCGGGATTAAAATTAAACAACTCGTTCGTAAAGAAGTTAAAGTTTCAAACCCACCTAGATTAACGATTGCGTTAGAAGGGTTATGTGACATGGAGTGAGGTTGGCCCAGCCGAGTTTTGAGCTCCACGATCAGTTTACCGATAGAAACATCGTGATATTTAATATAACCAGTTGCTCCGGTGGATACTAGTAGCCAGTGGTAAGGGAGGTACTCCAGATGGACTGGATTTATGTGGTTCTTCAGTCTGTGCAGCTCAGTTCCTGACCCATCGTAGATGTACGCGTACTAAAAGGGAGGACCATCAAATCCCACGCTACATTAAATCATACATAGATATTAGATAATATGATTTAAATCAAAACGATTTGTCGCTAATTGGAACAATCTGAAGTGTATTTTAAGAAATAATATTACAGTAGAGAAACAACTCAAATTAAATGGCATAAAATTAAATGAAACCTTTTTCTGGGCAACGGCGATGTAGTCCCGATTATGAAGCCAAGCAATATCTTTAATCGTCTCCTTGACGTGAAACTCACAACCTAGTTTTCCTGTCTGCCAGTCAAATGTGGCCACATGACCTTTAGCTCCACCGATCAGTAACTTACTAAAAGGAGAGATTTAATGGTACCAAAAAATGAGTCCTTTACTTTTTTTTAAAAAGTTTTCGGTCTAATAACAGAGAATTCTCAAGCGTGGATAGGTCAGAATTGAGAATCGCATCTCAGCATACCAATAGAGCGGAACTAATACAACATATTCAGGTATTATTCTGGTATTATTCTGACCTGCCGTTCCTGGAGTATGCACAATGATATGGACCATGATGAGGTAAAGCAAGGGAGAAGTGCTTCCTGGCACTACCTACGTCCACGTGCTTCACAATCTCCGTCTGTTTGAACTTAAGGGTTCGTTCTCCCTCATCTGCCTCCAAACACCCTCTCTCCTGAAGAGAAGTTAATGTGAGGAAGAGAGTCAAACTGGTGATACACGTACATATGGTTCGCTTGCAGACTTTTAAAAATCTGTCAAGAAATGCTATCTATAGATCCACCTCATGATCATATAGGGTGCATAATCATATAGGGTGTGGACTTTTTCTGAGGACAGACGCTATTGAAATTCGGTAAATAAACAAACCTCGGGAAGTAATAACTGGTTGAAAGCAGCCGATCTGATAGCCTGCGCATTATGCTTCTCCCGGACAATAAGTTCCCTTTTTAATTTCTTATCCTGGATACTTTTCAGGTCTGGACCTTCTCCTCGGACAAAGTTTTTAGACGCATTCTTGATCTCCGTCGAGTCGATAATGTTTGTCTTCTTACGTTTTTGCCCCATCCTGATGTAAGGTTAAAGAATTAAGCTGGTTCAAATAGAGGCATTATGTGGATAATTTTGTTTCGAAGACAAATTATGAATTAAAATGAAATTTTTACCGTCGTGATACAAAGTATCGAGACGGATTTAATGTTGGATAGACAACATGGAATTAGTTAAATGCGACAGTAATTAGACTTTCGACAAGCTTCATGTTTATTGAATAATATAATTACTCAAACGTTGATCATCTCTAAACAAATGACGGAATAAAAATAAATCATCAGTCTATATAAAAATAAAGTCTACCCGTGAATATACATTTTAACTTTCTTACAATTCAAATTCCTGATAAAAAGCAACCTATAGTCTATACCGAATCATGTACAAAGTAAATAAGCTTTGGGGACAATGGCCCATCCTCCAATCGATTTAACAAATAATTTGAAGCGTATTTACAAGCTTAATGTTACGAAATTTGGCTCTTGTTGAGCTCACTTATGAATCGTGAAATAACTCCAGGATCATATCTCGTTCCAACTAGATTACTATTTTCTGAACCGTCTACTTCCTTCACCAGGCCTCTCTCTACTGACACTGGCACAGTTCTATCATTACCTAGCTCAAACTGTTTTACAAACTTTGGTGATCTGCCGAATATCCAGTCCCACGATTCATGATCGTGATCTATAACTTTATCCGGAACTTCTTCAACCAGAACCAAAGTATTGTCGGTATCCTGAGTGCAATCCTCACTCCATAAATCTACCTCAGCGGGTATACTCTCAAAATAAAGAGACAAGTATTCTTCCGCCACGTCATCTATTATATTACGAGGAGTTATGACGTCATGATGTTTAGCACTGATGACGTCACGTGATTGGGGAGTGACGTCACGTGACAAAGCAGAGAGTAGTGATGTGGTGGGGCTGGGCACTGAGGCGGTGGAGGAGCCCTGCAGTGTTTTGTCACCTTGTAGCAAGCCGGAGAGGGCCGCTAAATCTGAGTTCACAAGCAGTGTGCAGTGGTGAAAGGAACCTGCAGGGTTATTTTTACGAGTTAGCGAATAGTTCAAATATTTCAAATTTGATTTATTCAGAAGTGACTCACTTAGAAAGTATTAATCATAGAGTTATTATTTGTCATGAAATTTAAATCACTCAGCTCAAAATTTCCTATTCTAGCGTGTTACCGAATACTCAGAATATTTAGGATAAAGTTCACTGAATAAAACAATATCCCATACTAAAAACTATGATACCCTAACCTGTTCTAATGATACGGCTGGCGCTGCCAGATATCTTTCTGTCGCCAATGTGCAGATCATGTCTCTTATTGAGGTCTATAGATAACATATGTCGCTCCGACAGGGTCTCTGCAAATAGAGCTGCGGTCCCGTTACCTCCGCTATTTTTGAACGATTGGCTGTGAAAATAGAGGAAAAATAACAGCAGAGACTGGGATTGTTGCACCAATCGTACCATAATAAGTTGATAGAATTTACTATTTAGACATGGCTCATGAGCTGGGTGTCTAAAATATACGGCAAAATGCGTTATAGTGTAGCGAATGAGTTTAAAAAGCAATTAATTATGAAAGTCCAAACCAAAAGTCGAAGGTCTAAATCCTAAATGGGTGGGAGTTGACACCACATACAACTATACAAGGTGGCAATGTTCCAAACATGATCTGTCGAGGGGGAGATTACGGTTAAACTCACGAGACAAGAATTGCAAGTTCCGGGCGGGACAGTGAGAAGGTTTGTCGGAGAAGAAAGAGAAGTTAACGTTCCCCAAATCATGGTAAACTGTCCCTCCACCACTTACTCTTCTGGCTATACTGACTCCTGCGGGTATCCCGTATCAAGATTTGATGAGTATTATATAGGTATTCAGTTACTTCATCGTGAAAGACCTGCCCAAGCAATTCTAAAAACGCAGCTGAGTTGGTCGAAAATAAATGACAATGTGAATGATATGGGTTCAGACTGCAGACTAGACTTCAGCTAAACTAAAATGATTCTAACCATCTTTTTTGGCCCTGTCGACGTTAACTTCCCTCCACGTGTTCTGAAATCTCCCAATCACAACGCACGGCTCATTCCGGTAAATCAACAAACAGTCAAAATTGGCAAAACTCCAATTGTTCAAGATCCAATGTTCCAGAGCGAGGTTTTTGTAGACGTTTGTAACATTAGACAGGATAACTTTGGCTCGTTTTCCTTGTCTGGCAGCACATGTTGCCATTTCCTTGATGATTTTATTAGCGCCTGACTATTGGACAATACAAAGTGAATTTGGATTAGTTTTTAAGAAACGGTAACTGGTCGCATGCCTTATATTATTGAATGACTAAATACTATACGATACTAATCTTTATTGCATAATTGATTGCTGTTGACTTATTAAATTTGAGAAGACTGAAATAGAATAAATAAATCTACGAAACAAATCAAATCATTATTTGATAAAAAATCTCCAAATATAGAAAAATTTACATTTTTTTTAGTAATTAAAGGAACTGCAAACAAATTGTTAAACTTAATACTCTTCAAAAATACTCGAAGTTTTGGTTATCGAAGTTTTTGTTATCGGATTGCTTCAGGAGATGACTCTTGTGAAACTTAGATGTCACTGCTTTTACAGGTTTTTATATCAATTAGAAATAATAATGCCGATTAATAAAAAGGAAAATCTAACTAAACGTCTACTTTTTTAGCTACTTTCTTCATCGGTTGTCAGATAGAACAGCTTAACGGCGTTAAGCTGTTCTATCTGACAACCGATGAAGAAAGTAGCTAAAAAAGTAGACGTTTAGTTAGATTTTCCTTTTTATTAATCGGCATTATTATTTCTAATTGATATAAAAACCTGTAAAAGCAGTGACATCTAAGTTTCACAAGAGTCATCTCCTGAAGCAATCCGATAACAAAAACTTCGATAACCAAAACTTCGAGTATTTTTGAAGAGTATTAAGTTTAACAATTTGTTTGCAGTTCCTTTAATTACTAAAAAAAATGTAAATTTTTCTATATTTGGAGATTTTTTATCAAATAATGATTTGATTTGTTTCGTAGATTTATTTATTCTATTTCAGTCTTCTCAAGTCTGCTTAACGACGCTTGTAGTAATAAAATTTAGTTTATCTTTAACAACTATGTGTGTAACTTTAAAACAATAAATTATGGTTTTTAAAATAAGTTGATCATACACAAATTGAAAATATTATGCAGGGTTTATCAAGAAATCAGAAGAATCGATCCTGACCAGGAATCGATCCTGACCAGATCCTGAATTAGTCAACAAAAGAGCGGAAACAGCTCAAAACTGAAATTCAGCACATGTAACTGTAAGACTACGATAACATTGCTGGCATGGCTCAAAGATATGTTAACCCCTCAGAGATTTATTCTCTAGCTGTTTGCAGATTTTGTTAAGCTCATTCTGCATTGACGCCAGTTTAGCAACCTTGGATACCTGAAATTGTGCCGCATAACATTATCATGATTATGTGAGAAACAAAATTAAAATTAGCTGATCATCCGATTTTCCAGACTGGAAAGGATCATCCGTAAAATTAATTGACAGCAAACGGAAATATTAAGGTATTTTGATTTCTTGAGATGAAAACGATATTACTTTAGCTAACCTGATTATCCTCCAGGACTTCACCACCGGCAAGTCTCTCCTCCAATAGCTTAGTGTCTCTAATCTTTTTGAGTAGCTTTTGCCTCTCTTTCTCAAGCATCTCCATCGTCCCCTTCTCACTCATTCCAGGTCGTCTTAAAGTTGGTTGATCGTTGAAGTTTGCACTTCCTCTTCCTCTACCATACGAGGTTACAGAAGGAGGATTGTAACTGTCAATCTGTTCTGGCAGAGATTGAATTACGTAACTCCCTGGACCCATGTCCCTGTTAACGACATAAACCTCATCCTTCTCTCTTCTGCTGGCTCCACGACCGCGACCAAACGACTTGGCCGGCTTTTGTGGATCGGGTGAGTTGATTGATAAAGACTTCGCGGAGCTTGAGTATGGTTTTCGTGGTGGTTCAGCAGAGGCTGTACTAGTATCATAGCCTCCCGCAGAGGCCCCAAAGGGGGCGGGGTTGTGAGTCTCTGGGCTCCCATTTCCTTTGCTCTTTGACTTTCCGCTGGAATTGGGTTTTCTAGGAACTACTCCTTCAGAATAATCTGGTTTATCCTGATAGTAGTCGTAAGTAGAACTACTGAGTTCAGCATTTCCATATTGTTTATCATAAGATAAACCACCATGATTATTACCATTCCGTCGAGTAGTCTCTTTTTGTTTGCCATAACCGTTCTCTGTCGCGTAACCTGTCGTACGACCGGATGAGAAAGAATTGACCTCCTGTTGCTGCTCCATCCCTCTTCCGTTTCCTAACGATTGAAAAGTGTTGTAGACTGTTTGGGTGACAACGCGGTTGGTAGCCGCTGCAGAAGGCATCTCTAGATCCCACTCATTTGATAGCGTTGCCTGAATCTTGTTTGCCTGCGATTCTGGGATGAGAAGCTCGAGGTTCCTGGAGTCATCCATCACCAACTGAGGCTCAATAATAGCTCTCTTGTTGCAAGTTTTAAGATGATCTTGGAACCTGCTCTTTAAGATGACGTGTTTAGCATCGTAGGGGCATTGTGAATACTCCTTGCCATTGTGGTTCTTTCTGCATTTGATGAGGTGATAAGGAAACCTCATCTGGCTTATCATGTGGACAGGATCGTATGGACATGGAATCAATACCTCACGATCCGGGTCGACAACAGCATGTGACATAGTGGTAGCTAGCTATTAACCTGAGGGTTCGTATTTAGCAGAGCAGAGAATTAACTGTAATCAATCATGTTGAAATGTTTTGAGATAGAAATGTACTCCTTCATAAATTTTCCGTTCAATCTTTTTGATTTTAAAAGAATCTAAGCTGATAAAAGCAAAGCGATGTATTCAACTAAAGGAAACACCAAAGAACATGATTCACACCCGAACTAAATGTAACCTTTATCTATTTATATAGTGCTAAATAAAAATATAATTCTAACTAAAAACTGTCCGAAACTCAAAGATTTATTCGACCCTAATATGAAATTACCGTCGTCCTGAAATTCTACCTTAAAATGTATATTGATTGTTGACCTTTGTAGAGTATTTTAAAGGCACTGACAAAACTTTGAAAATGACGAGGTCGCAAACAGTTTTTCTTAATACTTGGCAAAATGAGGCCAGTTGAATCAGCCAACCAAATAGGTATGACTGCGTAATTGTGGACCTACAACTGGTCTATACTTAACCAGCAAGTGTAGGAACACTTATTCAAATTGGTGACTTCTGCAGATGTTTTATCCAAGTGAAACTAATCTGATAAAACTAGCGAAAGAGAAAGAATTGACCTCCCGCTGCTGCTCCATCCCTCTTCCGTTTCCTAACGATTGAAAAGTGTTGAAAACTGTTTGGGTGACAACGCAGCAGCTGGAAAGGTATGTCTGGATCCAACTCGTTTGTTAGTGTTGCCTGAATCTTGTTTGCCTGGGATTCCGGGATGATATGCTCGAGGTTCCTGGAGTCATCCATCACCAACTGCAACTAAATAATGGCTCTCTTGTTGCAAGTTTTAAGATGATCTTGGTATCCGGTCTTGAAGATAACGTGTTAAGTACAGAGAAGGTACTTGACATTGTTTCTAGACTAAATGAGGTAAAACCTCGTTTGGCTTACCATGTGGACAGGATCGTGTGGTCTCAGGATTCTGAAACTCTGGCATATCACATAATTTGACACCTAAATAGGAAGGTAAGTAGTTGTTAGGCAAGTGAAGAAGACTTTTCATTAACAATTTAATATAATATCAAGATGAACTTGAAATAATAATAAGGATTCCAATTGTTATATCACAGTATATGATGATTGCTTTTTGAACACTTTGATACAATCTACCACTTATTTGATAATCTGACTGAGTCGTGTAGTGTTATTGACTCTCATTTTATGATTATTTCAAGAAACTTTCTGATTTTTTTAATAGACTCAATGACAATGTTCTAATGAAAGTAAATACGTGTCGAAATTTCTACGTCATACTTATAATTTCAAATTATTTGTTATATAGTAGTGTTGAAAGTATTATAATTTTAAAAAGAATTAAAAGGTTTTGTTAATTTTGAATACTCTCAACACTACTATATAATTATAATATATATAATAGTACTGTTGGAAGTATGAAAAAGTTATATGTAACAAATTATATAAGTTATATGTAACAAATTATTTTAAATTATGAGTATGACATAGAAATGTCGATACGTGATTAATCTATTTACCTTCATTAGAACATTGTCATCACTGAGTCTATTTTAAAAAATCAGAAATTTCCTTAAAAGAATTCTTTGATAATATCAACACAGCAATCATGATGGTTCCGAACGCGAATAAAACGACACAATTCAAAATAGCAAAATATATATTAATGATGGAATCTTCTATAAAAAGCCTCCTGCAATTTTCTGTGACTCAAAAGAAGTCAAAACTGAAACGCCACAAAGAGATAAGAGTTAAGACGTAACCACTACCCACGGATATGATGGTCTTGCAATATTATCCGGTTAAATAAAATTTAGGACGATGTAATATGCGACACAATAACAAATAAAAAGATAAGGTCAATATAAAAGATGAAGGTTCGTTTTGCTTCATTTTTACCTAATTCTCATGATTTCCAGTTCGAAGGTCAAACCGGCATTAGGGGGAATGCCCCATGCTGGAAATCCACCGGATCCGTAACCTTTAGCACCAACCATGGAAATCCTGGATTTCTCTCCTAAACTCATGGTCATAGTGCCTTCATCCCAACCAGCGATTACCTAGTAGTTCACAGTCGTTAACAGGCAAATCATTGAAACAATTAAAAAGTTGATTAGACTAACGACATATCTAGACAGAATGAACTACTATTGTACATATTATGATTTGTTTTAACTAATTACAAGACTAAAAATCGATTACATTTATTGAGTATGTATAGATGGATGTAATGGGAATACTTTAACCAAGTATACCCTAGCTACAAATTGTGTATAATACTTTGTCTTATCTGTAAATGAAAAGCTCTAAAACTTGAGTAACTGAAACAAAATTTAAAATTAAGCAAGAAAATGCCTCCCACCTGTCCAACACCAGCCTTAAAAGTGAACTCTGTTTGACCAGGATCACGTGTGCTCCAGAACTTCTTCAAGCCCTCAGTGAGCATGCCAGTACAGTGGACTGTCACAGAGGCTCCTTTCGTCACCATTTGCCCATTTCCTGGGGTGATCACCGACTTCGTGACTCCATCTGACACTTGGATTGGTGCTGACATGACCTCACTAAATATTGGGTTCAAATTAAATAATAAATATAACACGGCAATTATGATGGTTCCGTATCCGAATAATACGAGACACTTCTTTCGACTGGGATTACGAGAGCTACAGAGCTTTTTCAAGCCATCAGTGAGCATGCCAATAAAGTACATCGTCACAGAGGTTCCTGTCCGACTAGATTCTCCAGTTTCTTGAGTGTTCTTCGTCACCCCATCTGGTTCTGACATAACCTCACTAAAGATAGGGTTCAAATTAGTACTGTAGATTTCATACACTTCAGAAAAAATCTTCCATTCAGAAAGATATATTAGAAAATTTATACACAATGATGGGATTCCGATTCAACCGGAAGTATTCTGGAGGAAAAGTCGAAAACATGTACACGAATTATCATATCAAAGTTTAAATTCTACAACAATAACATTTCATTCAAATTTTTACACGATAAAAAGAAAGATCAGCGAGATGAAAAGGCTACGGGGATTATAGACTTCGAAAAAAGCAAAATTGAAACTCACAGCAGCAGAAACTGTGCAGAAACTAAGCGAGGGAAAATATTGTGATATCCCATCTTCATATTTAGTAAATTATGCTTTTTCGAATCCATTATTACTAAACGCCATTACTAAACAAATTATCAAATAGAATAAGAAAAATCACATGAACAGCCCCATACATCATATTTGATACAATTAATGCTAAACGCACTGTACCAATTAAATTATTTTAGGTTATTACCATCATCATATTATTATCATACAAGGAAATTTCTCACAATTGAGCCAGAGTTGTTTAAACCTTCTAAATAAACGAGTTAAAACTATCATCCTTATTCCTTGAGCAGCTAAAACAGGAACTATTAGCGTTAAAGAGAGAGTTGAACCAGCTCCGTTGCGCAGTGCGGCAGGAGATTGTGGGCTGTGTTGGTTTTATGGTTCAATATCTAACCCATTCTTCTCGATGTACCTCCTGAAATATGCCAGGTTATTTGAGGTTGAGTAAGTGAGTAAGTTTTTTTAAATTTATTGCCCTTAATTAAAATTTTAAAAACATAGCACGGAAAATAGAGTTGTCTCAACTATAAACCTGTCTTTATTTGTCCGATTTAAACTCTGATAATGTGGATACTTTGCGCACCTTATAGAACAGGTGTTAATATTTGCAGTTAATCAATGGTTAAGATACGGTTCGGGGTCACGTGACGTCACCATTCACTGCTGTTGCTGCAAACCAACTTTAATGCAGTACTTCACCTGGTTGATATCTTAGAACTTTAGAAAGAGACCTCCTTAATAATAAGCTCAGACAAATAACAATTGGTCAAGGGTTGCTTAATTACTCAATAAAAGATCATGGGATCCAATACGGAGTTAGTTTTAAGCCCTATCCCATTAATTTTTTGGCAGATGTCATAGATTCCAGGTGTGTGTGATTATTTCCCAATGTTATGGACAGTGGACACGACACTCAACTCTGAGGAATGTACTATCTCTGATAGAATAGATAATATTTGCTCGTTTTTAAAAAATGCATTAAGTCCGGTTGTCGGCTCCATAATCGCATACATTTTCTCGGATCAGTGCATCTGATTTTGTAATCATTGCCCTGAAACAGGCTACATATCTTGGTAATGCTATTCAGATGGAGGCAATGGCCACTACTTGTAGTTACAGCTGCGGCAATTTGGTGTAAAATAACGGGTTTGATAACAGAAAACAATGGATAATTTGATACAAAGAAGCCAAGCGTGGCTGGATCCTGATTTGCTCCAGTGTCAAGCGTGAAATTTTGCAGCCACTGTCCATCAGGAATGTTATGAAGCTTCTATGCAAGGTTGGGATCATGTCTAACTCGAGGTCAAAAATCGGTAAGTTCCTGTCAGTTTCAGAGTGACAGGTGTTTTGCTATAATATGATACATAACGTGACATAATTATTGTAACTCTTCATTTTAAATCTCTTGTCCACCGCGTAAATATTATATTATTATATGTACAGATCTAGTTAACTCTGTAGTCTTTTACACCATGTTATCAAGTTGTTCAGTCCCCCCTCCCCCCCTGTTGTATCTTATCGTCGATTTAACAGTTAAACTACTAGCATGATTCACTTCTAACTATTATTCCAGCTATTTAGATGGACGCAAGCTACTGTCATTATACCATGAACTTGATGTTGAACTATTTGATGCTGACTATAATTGGTGCTGCTGACATGGACCTAACGTCTGTAACCGAAACAGGTTCATCACTCTTTTCAAGAATAAGATATTATCTAATTGTCGAAACGGTAATTTAGGGGACGGGGCTAGGAAACTTATAGACATCACCCCTGAAACTTAGCTTCCTATACTATGTCACATTGTCCCTCTCTCGCTACAAAATCTGTTTTCAGGTGTAATTAAGTGTCATACAGTGAATCTGAAGGGGTACCTGAAACAAGAATGCAACTACAAGGGCAGAAGAGTGTACAAATGCTGGGACAGTGAGGTATATTATCGTATCATCAAGTCCTCGTACTTACTTACAAAGTACACTGATTTGGAGGGAGGGAGAGAGGGGAGGTGCTCTAACGACCCTAACGTTTATCAGGTGATAGGAAGTTTAATGATTAAATATATATTCCATTTTTAGGATGATTTTATCTAAATGACACTGTTCAGACCCAACAGGGTACGTTCAATACTACTATTCCAGGAATGTGGACACGGACAAGAACAACAACACGCCCTCTCCCAGACCAGTCTGCTATGTGGGTACTACCTGTGTAGCACCTCATCTCAAACTTTCAGTGGGGACCTCATTATCATTGGGAAACACTGTAACGGGGTGGTTCAGTGTGAGGGGGCTGTGGATGAGGCGTTCTACCCTGATCCTGAGGAGGCATTCACTTGCTCAATCACTGGGAAAATAATAGAAAGATCCAAGGTATGGACTCAATGTGCAGTGTGTACTTGTCCGGCTTAATACCGAGTATGATTTACGGATTTGTGGAGTTTACATGAAATATGTGTACACAACCGGTTAAGAGCGTGCATTATACCGATTACAGTCCAGATAATGAGAACTTTAGCCAAGCTATTTTATACTTTTGAGTTTCTAAAACATAACAAACCAACATTCGCGTATTTCGTAATTCTTCTGCCACACTGATTAAATGTTTCGCTGTAGCGAAACGCGTCATACAGTGGTGTTACTATAAGAAAGTAATTATGACGACAAGGGAGTCAGGGACTGGGAGATCTATGAAATACAAACATTTAGCCTGTATAATGGCAAGCCAGCGTAGTAAGATTAGATAAGTAAAATTGAAAGATAAGACAATTATGTAAGCTCCATTGACTGGCAGGTATGTGACGGGGTAGAAGACTGTACAGATCAACTCTACTCTGCGATCCCAGAGGACGAGTTGAACTGTAACCACAGTTACGGAGTGGAGTGTCTGACACGTGGTGACCGCACCCCAACATGGGTGCACCCTGCCTACATGTGCGAGTGGGACAGCACATTTGGGGAGTGGCAGTGTGCTGATGGCAGGGATGAGCAGGGCTGTAGTCCCGTCAGAGAGTGTGTATCCGCGTACTTTGGACGACGGAGGAATATTACGGAGAAGCAGATGTGTTCACCACCGGTGGGATCGTACCCAGTGTGTGTTGATGGACAGGATCAACTCAACTGTACTGACACAACCCTGTGGTATGTGAACATGGTCGGTTGTATGTGCATTGTGCATTCCAATAGCTAATCACAGTCCTAATCTACCGGCCAATTTTTAGGTCAGAAACTAGAGGTATTCCAAAAGAAACTAGAAGTATTCCAAAAGAAACTAGAAGTATTCCAAAGAAACTGTAAGTATTCTAGCGGAGAAGTATTTCACTCTTTATAGAACCCCTCCCAGGTGCAAGGTAAATAGCTCCCTAACTACTTTAACACGCTACACCCTCTGTGACGACTATCCAGTTTGTGACGATCTCTTCGACGAGAAATGTTTACAAGTCAACCAGGAGTGTCGGGTAAAACTATTTCAAATCTTCAAATGTTCTTTGACAGGTTTTCCAGATATTTTGAATGTTTCCAACCATATTTTGTCCGATTTAGAGAAATAGTCTTGCACTTTAACACATTTACAGTTTACACCTGTTGAAGGAGACCTCTTGTCTTGAATTTTAACACATTTACACCTGTTGAAGGAGACCTCTTGTCTTGCACTTTAACACAGTTACACCTGTTGAAGGAGACCTCTTGTCTTGCACTTTAACACAGTTACACCTGTTGAAGGAGACCTTTTGTCTTGCACTTCAATACAGTTACACCTGTTGGAGGAGACCTCTTGTCTTGCACTTCAATACAGTTACAACTGTTGAAGGAGACCTCTTGTCTTGCACTTTAACACATTTACACCTGTTGAAGGAGACCTCTTGTCTTGCACTTTAACACAGTTACACCTGTTGAAGGAGACCTTTTGTCTTGCACTTCAATACAGTTAAACCTGTTGAAGGAGACCTCTTGTCTTGTACTTCAATACAGTTACACCTGTTGAAGGAGACCTCTTGTCTTGCACTTCAATACAGTTACATCTGTTGGAGGAGACCTCTTGTCTTGTACTTCAATACAGTTACATCTGTTGGAGGAGACCTCTTGTCTTGCACTTCAATACAGTTACACCTGTTGAAGGAGACCTCTTGTCTTGCACTTCAATACAGTTACAACTGTTGAAGGAGACCTCTTGTCTTGCACTTTAACACATTTACACCTGTTGAAGGAGACCTCTTGTCTTTCACTTTAACACAGTTACACCTGTTGAAGGAGACCTTTTGTCTTGCACTTCAATACAGTTAAACCAGTTGAAGGAAACCTCTTGTGTTGCACTTCAATACAGTTACACCTGTTGAAGGAGACCTCTTGTCTTGCACTTCAATACAGTTACACCTGTTGAAGGATACATCTTGTCTTGCACTTTAACACAGTTACACCTGTTGAAGGAGACCTCTTGTCTTGCACTTCAATACAGTTACACCTGTTGAAGGAGACCTCTTGTCTTGCACTTCAATACAGTTACACCTGTTGAAGGAGACCTCTTGTCTTGCACTTTAACACAGTTACACCTGTTGAAGGATACCTCTTGTCTTGCACTTTAACACAGTTACACCTGTTGAAGGAGACCTCTTGTCTTGCACTTTAACACAGTTACACCTGTTGAAGGATACCTCTTGTCTTGCACTTTAACACAGTTACACCTGTTGAAGGATACCTTCTCCAGGTACACAAACACCAGCTGTGTGACAGGGTGAGGGACTGTGAGGGTGGACAGGACGAGACAAGAGAGGAGTGTTATCAGATCTCTGAGAGAAGGTGTGAGAGGAGGGTTAATGTAGGGAGATTGCTACCCCTCAGGAGAGAGCTACCCCTCAGGAGAGAGCTACCCCTCAGGAGTGAGGAGAGAGCTACCCCTCAGGAGGGAGCTACAGATACCACTCGCTTGGTTAGCAGATGGAGACGCGACGTAGACTGCATAGGTAAGCTGTTATCTAGATTTTCCCGAATGTAACTAGTTTTAAGCCGTTCAAGTTGATAGACTACAGAGAAGCAATGAGACTGCTAAAGATACAAATAATAGTTCCCAACAAAGGTAAGTTCTAAAGAGTATTACACAATACTTGATGACTGTATTCCACAGACGGAGTTGACGAGGAAAAGGAACAGTGGAAAGTGTGTGGTAGTACCCACACAAGGTGGCAACGACCCAACACTACCTGTACGGAGGTGTTCCAACACGGCCCACACTACGTGGAGCTAACCCTCTTGTGTGACAAAAGGCGGAGAACTCTCCATCACATTGAGAGGGAGGTCTGTGAGGAGTCCAGGAATATTGAGTCTGTTTGGAATGTAGCATAGTTGGTTCGTGCGTTACTTTTCCAGGGAAAGTGCGTTTAGTTCGTGAAGATTTTTCGTGCGTTTAAGTGCGATAAAGTGCGTCTGCACCTTTACATTACGAGGTTTACGAATTAGAAAATGACAAAATTCTTCATTCCTACATCTAACTAAGCTAAGGTAGTGTAAAAGAGAACTACCACGTGCAGTTGCACCAGTCTTTTCAGATGCACTGATATTGCGCAGATTACCGTGGATATATATACAAGTTTCTCCACTTTTCCGTGCCCACGCACTGATTTGTTAGTAACAGATTTAAAAGTGCGTTTTAAAAAAGTTTTCGTGCGTAAAGTGCGTTCGGTTTTAAAAGTGCGTTTAGAATTAGTGCGCACGAACCAACTATGGACTTGATACATCTTTTACAAGCAAGAGCCAACCTTAGAGAGAATTTCTTCGATCAGATTTGCAAGGGTTTTGCTTGACCGTCCTTTTTCCAGTTTCCGCTCTCATTAGCGATTCATCAAGCGCTTTTTCCATGGGATTTATTTTCGTTGACTTACATATTGCGTAGTCTGAACTCTGATATCATTGTGGTAATTCAATTTCTCGAAACTGCAAGATTTCGCAGTTTTTATAAATTCCTGGGTGCAGATAATTATATTTATATAAAATTAAAATAGAATTAAAGTCTATGTACCAAGCGCTGTTCCAATCTATAAATCAGTTTTATATTGGAGAAACTATTTTAATTCAGTCTAACCCAGGGTATCCGTATAGGTTATAAGATTTCAGTGATGTTTTGGGGGGGGGGGGGGGGGGCATGACAGTAGCTAGGGAGTCACGTGGGGTATTTCTAAACGACCTGTTTCCGTGTAACAACGGTAACTGTGTAACACTTAATAAGGTTTGCAACAACATTAACGATTGCGGGGGCGGCTCCGATGAAGCAAATTGCTCAAATTCCTGGCATTGTGAGGATTCAGGGGAGGACATCATTTATTCAGCAGTGTGTGATGGAACAGTCCACTGCAGGGACAGTAGTGATGAATGCAATGGCCTGTGTAATCAGAGGGTCATAGAGGACAAACTGGTCAGAATCAGCGCCTGGATCAATGGCATCTCAGGAACGGTCCTCAATGTTGTGGTCCTTGGTAAAAACATTCACAGCACGATAAAAGAAGACCTCTCAGGAACTGCGAGGGTGGTTTGTGTGTTGGTGATGAGGATCTCATTGTTGACCAGTTCATTGGTTGTCAGCATCTGATTCAGTGGAGAATCAGTACACTTTGCTCCACCCTCGGTGTTATCAATGCTTTATCTGCTCTTTTATCCACCACAGCCATGACCATTCTCAGTTTTTATCGGATGGTAGTTGTGATAAAACAGAAACCAGCACAGCACAAAAATTCGATGCACACAAGAGCAATTATCCTAGGACTATCGGCTACAATAGTTATTATCTCCCTTACCTTTGCTTTACTCCCTGTCCTAGGAGACGACGAATATTTCACTAACGGATTGTATTACGGACAAGATGTGCCTCTTGTTGTAATATGGTATTTAGAGATATCTTTTAGGATATCTTAGTTTTAGTATAACGTATATTAAGGGACGTAGAATTTAGTATGTATTTCCGGGTATATAATAACCAATGTTTTTATATGTTCGTATTTGGGAGTTACACATTTTGAGTGTAAGTCGGTTGGCTGGCAGAACTACTGTCAGACTAACTGTCTGAAACGAGCCGTCCGCTCACTTTGCACCTGACTTACAGCCAGGCCTGTGGTTGGTCCTCGCGACCACAGCGTGACTGCTAGTGGAGTGCTCATTGGCGAGACGGCGTGTCACGTGGTGCAAGCAGATGCGTTGTGCCGTCACGCAGTGTGGCGTGACGAGTTTTGAGAGTATACCCGGAGAGCCGGAAGTGGAGAGCTCACTTCTTAGTTGCCCCTTAATCATTTTAAGGGATTCGATTGTCAATAGCCAGTTTAACTGAGTACTATTCTCTGTGACTAGACACGTAGTGTGATCTATATTCACGGCAATCGCTTGGAGCGAACACTTGGAAGTTTTCTCTGTTGACGTTCACTTTGTATAACTTTCTCTTTTTTAATTAAATCATCCTTTTTAATAATAATCGTTTCATTTCTACTATACGGTACGCCCTGCCGTTTCGTGCTTCGTGACTAGAGCTTGACTAGCATACACTAAATACTAAGAAACTCCGTTTTCTATACTCTTTTCTCCGGCATAGTAAGCAAGACAAAACACATACAAGTGCTGGAGAAGTACTACGGTCGGTTGAGAGGAGAGGCGTCTTGGGATGCCATCCGTAGTCTTGTAAGTGGAATGTTTACTGACGAGTACGGAGGTATTACCCCACAAGTTGTGGGATCCTACGGAGTCTCAAATGTGTGCTTGTTCAAGTACTTTGTGACACCAATCGATGATCACAAAACTTTCGTTATCAGTAATCTAGCCTACTTTGTCCTGTGCTTCACTGCTATAACTATCAACTATCTGCTGATAAGTGATAGTCTCAGTTTACAAGGAATCATCAGCCCGATCAGCTGGCAGTAGAACGGACGCAAATAACAGACAACTTCAGCGGAAGATAGCTCTTATGATACTGACTGACTTTATGTGTTGGGGACCGTTTTTAATTTGCGCTGTTTTACATTTCTACCAGATAATAGATGCTAATAATAGTTATGCCATGTTTTCATTGATAATCTTACCAGTCAATTCGGTATGTAATCCTTTGATTTATGAAGATAGTTGGAAGAAAGCAGTTCATGAAAGAAGACCTCGCAAATTGATCAGTTCGATCCAAGAGGTCAAATATACCAAACCTTTGTGGCTAGACAGTTTACAAGAGATGTTGACAAAGAGTCGAATAAACGTTTTATCTGAGTCAATGTTATCAATTTTATCAATTTCGAAGAGGCTAGAGTGTCAGTGAATGGAGAAACTCAACTATAGAAAAACGGCGTACAAATCATGCTTTATGAGGGATGAATTAAAACATCAGTGAGGATATTCAATATTTTTGTTAAATACCGTGTCAGTATAGATCACCCCTGCAGATTTCGTCGATTTCAGGTGCCGTCGGCACCATAAAATTAAAAGCAAACATAAATTTTTTCCCCTAAAATCGAACGCTTTCTGCGCAAAAAATTGACTTCAACAGAAAAAATTAAACATGGCTTCAAATCCAAATTTTAACCAGAGATTTTTCACTTCCTCTCGATAAACTCAATTTTCAACCCAAAATAAAGTCTCAAAGGGGTAAATTACTCAGGTCAGGATTGTAGGCAATGATTATGCCAAACCATACATTTTTGTAAATTCATTAAACTTTCAATTTAGCCTAAAACACCATATTTCGCAAAATTTTTCCGGGGGGCTGCGCCCCCCTAGCCCCCGCCAATGGGGTCCGCGCCCCCAGACCCCTGCCACAGCTTGCAGCTTCGCTCGCCGACAGCCCCCCCCCCCCCCAAAGAAAAATCCTGGCTACGTGCCTGAGCAAAATATAGGTTTAGGGCTTTTCAGATGATTTGGCTCCTCAACAGATACCGATGTACATAACGGTCAATATGTAGTTTAGGTTTACCTGGCCCGTAGGTTACGAATATGCCCGAGAAGGAAAAAAAAGCAAACTTAAGAAAATTTCTCGGGAACTTAAAAGTTCACCTCAAAACGAAATCTGCACCTATGGTATAGATATTTATTTATTTATATAGTTCAAGTGAGATTAGTCTCGAGATTCCGATTTTCGATCGTTTTGTAATATATTATGTTGTAACACTATTTCCTTTCACTTATTGTAACAGGTTTTAATGTTTTATGTAGTTAGAGTCGGTATGCTGTAATGCTCCTATCGGGATTGTAGCAAGCCCTAATACAAGCATAGTTTCAACCGTGGTTTCACTGTGCGAATATTTATAACAAGAATTTAACGGGTCCATACCTCCGTCCGTCTGCGATGAGTTCCGCTTTCTTCAGCTCCAGCATATTGGATCTGGCGACGGGATCTTTGAATAGGCTACCTTGCCCAGAGGACTTTGTGGGGGTAGTTTTGGGTGCTTTTTTAATTTCTTTAGGCGCAGTCCTCACCAGGTTGTATATAGTTTGAGTTGTGTCTTTTGTTCTCACTGGAAACAGGGATCATTAAGAGTTTAGAGTTTAGAGTGGATAACCAACACAAATAATCATTGTAATCTATTAACTTGTGTAGCCCCCTTTTAACACTATTATTTCAGTTTGCCTTTTCGAATGTAAATTTATATAAAATCACTCACTCAGATCAGCTCTGATTTCACTTTCGGGAATGTTAGGCAGGACCTCAATAACTTGTCTGACCAAACTGTCGATATCAACGGGTTTGGCACGTTGCTTGACGATGGTCTTCTTGTACTCGTTAACATCGTGACATGTTAGCTTCAGGGCAGGAATGTCTAGCTCAGTGCTGATAAGATTCTGCGCATGGAGCGCTCTTTGCTCTGGATTCTTTTCTCTCCAGTCGTCTCCAACAGTTAGGTACCTGGTGATATTGAAAAATTAATATTAAATATTTTAGTGCAACAATCAAGGGCCAGTTACAGTTTCATTGAGCGTCAAATACCGGACAAACATGTTATATGACCAGCTGAGTACTGATTTGTTAGCAGTTAAAATGGTCTTGACTCGGGAGTTCGATGTTTTAAGGCGTACGATGTAACGGAAATCGGTTAGGTAAGTTGTGCCTGTCATAATTTGAAATTAAATTATTTTTGTTGTAGATCTAAAGTCCGTTAATCTAAGCTGAAGAATATAAATCAATAAAGGAATTAATTGAAAGTTCATAAAGAAGGTTCGAATGTCTTTTAAATTTAATAACATCCGGAACTATAATCACTAATCAGAGACTTATAATCGATTGAGATGTTTTGTTTATATTTTGTATCATTACAAATTAATTGCAGATGAAAGATAAGAAGCTGTGATTGGGGGAATGATAGCGGACCAATTATTTGTGGCAAGTATAAATAAGGAGGTAAGAAACTGGTTCCATACCCGTTTCAGTCTTGCTATAACGACAAATACGTTCTTTTGTTCTTTACTCTCTTTCTTATTTTCAAAGTTTGAGTGATTTAGTTTCTTTATTCTCAAATTTTCACAGCTAACCCTTGAACTATTTAGATACCACTCTATAAAAACCATCATGTCTACTGAACTTGATCAACTGAAAGCAACCCACGAAGAGCTCAGACTTCAGAAGAGAGCTATCGACCGAGAAACCGAGGATACCAGAACCAAGACTATCGAGGACAAACGAGTAGCTGCGGCTGAGATCGAGAAGCTACAACTGGATCTGGAATCCTTGAAGGAGGAAAGCGCCGCTCTTACCGAAAAGAACAAAAACTTAGAAATCAACGTAGCAAATCTTAAACTAGATCATGAGGAGAAGAAGAAGAAACAAGAAGAAGAATACGACAGTCAGAGACGTGCCAAGCAGAAGCTGCAGTTCCAGGAAGCTAAACTCTGCACCAAGAAAGTAAACATTGAAAAGAAATGTGACTTGAAAAGGAGGTGAAACACAACAAAAACGAGAGGGAGGAGGTCAAAAATATCTATGAAACTGAGATGAACAAATTAGACAACATTCTTTCTAAAGTAAATTTCCAGAGGAAGACCTGGGAAAAGAAAGTTCAGGCTGCAAAAGAACAGCTCCTGAAACTAAACGCTAACTGTATTAATGTCAGGGAATCTTCCAGGAAGGAACTCTTCGAGAAAGATCTGCTTCTCCAACGTTTGGTTCTGGACACAAACAGGTGCCTAAAGTCTATCCCTGAACTTGAGGCAAGCACAGCTGTTCTTGAGAAAATGGTCACAGAATAGGCAGTTTATATCATGATAGACAATTTTTACACCATTTGAGTTTCATAGATAGAATAAAATATGTTAAATTTTGAGAGCAGGCAGAATTAATCTCTTCCAATATGTCTTCGGCAAAAGTTTTGTTAATCTAGTTTCAAATATTTTACGGTTTTGGAGAGTATTTGATTATCTTGTATTTATGATTATAGTAATTTTGTTTCAGCACCTTAATCCCCGAGTGTTAACTCGCGTTCGTAAATCCAAACTTGACTTAATTCAAATAAACTCGAACTACTCTTTAATCGAGCGTAAAAATAAACTAAGTTAATGAAAGATAACAAAATACTAAAAACTAACCTGACATTTGCCCAGTGTGCAGGGCAGAACAGAGTCCAGAAAAAGTCTGCAATGGGACTTGAAAACAGGTAAGTAAGATGTGGGGTCAGCACATGTAACCTCTGTATATCAATACATACGACTTGCACGTTTGCACTAATACTAAAAGGCCATGATGCGAACTTCAGGATACCCTGGCCGTTGGTCATCATTTGTTCTGGCAGCGTTAGTATGGGCACATCCGAAGTTTCGAGGTGGGCTTTAGCGACAGTGGTTGGTGGAGGAGCTTCGTGGCGTGGAGTGAGATCTAATGATCCTATCACTAGTCTTATAAGGAGCGGGATATCGCGTACACTTAACTGAAAATAAGGTGTTCATTTTACTTTCGGCCAACATTCCATATAACAAAAAGTTTTTAAATAAGATGGTATCGCATATTGATAGCAATAGGGAGATCAGCTAATTGAAAACCACAATTTACCGCGGAAATTTGAGAAAAGGAACATCTGCTATAAATTGGGATTTTTGTTTATATTATGCATGTTAAGCCCTATTTAGGGAAGGAGATGGCCACGGTAAATCAGGGTTTTACTGTATTAAATTCTATTAAAAGAACTGAATTTCCCTTCACTAGTAGAGAGCGATATAACACGAGCATAAATCTGCGGAAGCAGGCTTGTCCGCCGTGGCTAAATGGATCGGCGGCGGCGTTTCATTAAAATTACACCGGCGGCGGCGGCGTACGCCGGCGTGATCCGTGAAATCAAGGCCAACTAAATTGAGGTCTATGAAATATGAATATGATCATGTACTTAATTTGGGTAATTTAGACTTAACTTCGACAAATGATGTTGGTATATTGTTATGGTATTATCTGCTATCAAATAAAAGTTGAGACAAATTGATACAATTATTTTATTTAAGGTAAAATACATAAACAATAAATTATTGCCGAAATCAATGGATCTCTCAATATTTTTTGTTGGAAACAAAATCATAGTTTTTAGAACAAAACAGTGTATATTTGAAATTCTTAACATTCATTCTAGATCGCTGACTAGAAAGAATTAAACCTGCAGCCGACTAGGTTCTTTCAATTTCCGCACTACTGGCAGGTATACAATGCACTATTCTTACTATGTTTGAGAGTATTGGGAAAGTTTTTTGCCTATCGGCCCAAAATCTTAAAAGTTCGAATTGTAAAATTTCTTCTTCAGTCAAACTTATGAGTAGGTATCTGCTCAGTTCTTCTGATAATCAATATTGTTAAGTTAGCTAAAGGTGTGTATCATGTGTGTGTTGCCCCTAGCCGCTAATCGCTATCAGTAACACTGATATCTTCAAATGAAGACAGAATTATTTTGAAGTCAGAAAATGCACGCCGTACGCCGATGTACGCCGGGGTGTATCGGCGGCGTTCGGCGTGGCAAAATCACCCGGCGGCGGCGGCGTTCGGCGGCGGCGGACAAGCCTGTGCGGAAGGTCTGCCAAGAAATTTGTCCAAACGATAATGAAATTCAGTTCAAGTTTAACATAGAAGGCCTCAGCTGCGACAAATCATAAGACAAATCATTTGCTGCAATGTCTGTTAGATTCTGGAACGCTCTCCGTAAAGTATTGAATAAACAGAATCCCCAATCTTATTTCAAGATAGCTCTGTAAAAATTATGGACACCCTATCAGACAAAACCCGAACCCTCGGATCCTCTAAAATTGGCTGGTGCAGCCAGAGAGGTGGTTTACAGACTCGGCAGTGGGATGACCGTGTAGATGTCTGTTTCCAGACGCTGCAATATGTAAGTTAACCACTGCACCATTTTTACCAAATGAGCTGATAATTTCATTCATCATCATGAAATTGTCACCCATACTAGTCCGAGACGAAAGGGAAACTCGTTAGCTTTTTGTCTCAAAAGCGATTTCTCGACGGTTATCACCTCTCTACATGATGCTTTAAACATTTTGACTCTATTGCATTTTTGTACTAAATTCAATACGGGCGTTTTCGGCCACACCCTTTTTCAGGGTTTCGCGGTCACTCGGATTTTTGTATTTCAGCCCAGAAACGTCGTAGAGACTATTCCCATGCACCAAAATGTGCCTAATAGCCATATAATATTTATATACAACTTATGAAGCAATGTATACCTTAAAATACTTATTTTCGGAAATATGGCCGAAAAACGCTTTTTGGCTTGACGCAGTTCATAATTTCCGTGTTTTTTTTCATTCACACGCTTTTGTAAAAGAGCAATAGTGAAAAGTTACGAATGGTCGTTTTTGCAGAAAAACGTGGATTTTGGAGAACGAGGTGGGTGGGTTTAAATATATTGTCATTCCTTTCGTTCGTTAGTTACCATGTCAACTTGCCGCACGCACCCCGCAACGATTGCTTGCGGAGATGTGATGTATGGCTAGCCTGTGGTCAATGAATGCGCGGCGCAAGTGTATTTTAATGTATACTATGCTAAGCTATGTAATGTATAGTATTAAGTAATGAGCCCAATTTGTACGTGGCACGCGTAGTCTACTGATTTGTATAAAACATGAGTACAGTTTACTTTTACAATTTCGTGAATTACAGATACGTTAAGATACGTTAGATAAGTTAAGTTCTACATTGCAATTGAATTGGATTTCAAGTGTTTCCCTAGTTAAGTTAAAGCATAATTTATCAATATCATTATTATGAAGTGAGCTGATTAGAGCTTATACTTATAGTTATATATTATAGTGAATGGAAATCTAGCGTCCGCCAAAACAAAAGTTGCACACGTGAGGACACGCTCAAATTGATAGAAAATTGCTAAAATCACTGAAAATTGCTATTTTCACGATTTTTATCAACTTTGGACTCCCGTTGTGATCCAAGTTCTTTTTGCTATCTTTTGAAACTTGCATGCTCATTAAACTATATATAAAATACCACTACGCAAAAATGTACGGTGATTCAATATTATGCGCACGCAACGTCCGCTCAAAGTTTGCACGTGCGAAAGGTGAGAATTTTGCTCATTCGTGATTTCGAATCAATTCTGCTTTCCCACGACATTTTGATGGCATTATATGTGAATTTAATGCCAACTTGAATGAGTAAAAAGTGCCATATTCAGTCAGTTATCGAAAAATATGCCTACCTAAACACAAGGAAATGTTTTCAAAGGTAAAGTTTCGAAATCGTTGAAATTACCTCCTTATTAATGAAGTTATGAGTTGACATTTCGACTTTGTAAATTATTCTGACATGATAATCAAAAAGAGATGATATTTGACCAAAACCCATAATCATGGGTAGAGTGGACCGCAACAGTGTCTCTCTCTCTTTCCCAAACAAAAGGAAATGATATTAATTTGAATAACCGTCCGCAAATGCAAATTGATACCGAGAATGAAATCGGTCGCTCGCTTTTCCCATAAATATTTACAATTGTAATAGATTAAGAAGAACTACCCGAAGGCAGCTGTACTCGGCAATAAAGATTGGGAAAAGCGAGCGACCGATTTCATTCTCGGTATCAATTTGCATTTGCGGACGGTTATTCAAATTAATATAATTTCCTTTTGTTTGGGAGAGAGAGAGAGAGACACTGTTGCGGTCCACTCTACCCATGATATTGATTATGTGTTTTGGTCAAATTTATTCATTCCATGAAACTATAACATATACTAAGAATACCGGACCTAAAATAATTCTGCACTGGATCCGGGCTAGATTGTCGCTTGACCAATGACCAGTACCCCACTTAATAATTATAATTGACTTCGCTGTCTCGACCAATATTGGTCTGTAATCCCTGGATTGAGATCTGTTGGCCGCAAATGATAAATGTTAGCTCATTTACCATAATAGTAATTCCGCAAAAAGAATATGGGGTTATTCTGGAGTGGGAACCAAACCACTGCGGTATTTTAGGAAATTAGCTAAATTAAACTGCGGCCAACAGATCTCAATCCAGAGCTTACAGACCAATATTGGTCGAGGCAGCGACCCTTTGACCTTTACTTTGACCTTTACTAAAGAAACCGTAATTTTGAAAAATTGCCCTTTCGTAAGACACAAATATGCTCCTGGCCAGGCCCATTAAGAGAGATGCCCGATAAAGTAGATCATTCTCCAATTTTTGTAGGTGTTTCTGCACTGGACACAAAGTGAGTCATCTTACATCTTGTGACAAATGCTATGTTGCTCATGAGTCTTTAGGATCTTTCTAGTTAACAGTCCAATAGTCCATTTGTGAATATTGTCATTGTTCGCTCGGCAAAAATCCGTTTTTCAGTCACATTTCCGAAAATAAGCCTTTTAGGGTATTATATGTTGCTTCATAAGTTGTATATAAATGTGGCCTTCATGTACATTTTAGTGCATCAGAATAGTCTCTACGTCCTTCCTAGGCGGAAATGTCAAAAATCACAGAAATTATGAACTGCGTCAAGCCAAAAACCTTTTTTCGGCCATATTTCCGAAAATAAGTATTTTAAGGTATACATTGCTTCATAAGGTGTATATAAATATGGCTATTAGGCACATTTTGGTGTATGGGAATAGTCTCTACGACGTTTCTAAGCTCAAATACAAAGATTCGAGTGACCGCAAAACCCTGAAAAAGGGTGTGGCCGAAAACACCCATATTGCATTTAGTTCAAAATGCCTTTTAGAACGGTTGGGATCCGACTATACGTTTCTGTCCAATAAAATCCATCCGTTCATATTATCTAGTCAGCTAGAAGCGCGCGTGTCCTAAAATTGGCGCGCACGCGCGAAAACAAATATACCTTGTATGATTTTCGAACCTGACGCGCTACGTACATGTCGAACTGGTAAATCTAGTTTGCCAATTTGGCAACAACTCAAGAAACAAATGTGCAACTTACCGTAGAACATACTAAGGAGCATTCTATTATCAACCGGTCCAATACTGACACGTGGTTGCTCACTATTACCTGAGAAATTGACAGTATTAGGATTTGCTTCAGTTCAAATTTTAGCTACACTTCCTGGACAAATTTTAATCCAGCCATCTGAATTAACTCCGCTCTGTCCAAAGATAATCCCACGAAGAAAATACTCTACACTACAGCACTTAGAAACCCATACAACAAAATCTGATATGCTCGCATTATGTGGTTATTAACCAAACCCTCGCCGTTATTAACGTACCAACAATCAACATGTTGCACGCATGTCAGCTTTGTTTTGAATTTTTGATCGTTTGGGCCTTGGGGTTTTTATCACACACCGATTAAACGAATCATTTCTCGAAACTAAAGAGTGATAAGATTAATGGACGACATGTGATTTTTATTTTAAACGATAAGAAAAGTGATAAGAAATCAACTTACGGATGGTTTACTATCTTGGTTAGGTGGTTTCTGAATATTAACAAACACCCCTATCAGCATTAATACCAACCGCAAAAAGTACCTGAAATAAAATCTAATAAGTTATTGCGGTTATATGACGTTCTCCTCTAGTATAATCTTTCTTCTAGAATAAATGGATGTTCTAATAGAATATATTTACTTTTGACGGAAACATGATTTGGTCCAGGTTGTACAATCGACCAAGTTGTGCAATCTTATAATATAAGAAATCAGTGCAACTATACCTTCTGAGTTTTAATCTTTTAGGCATGACGCAGAGAATAACTAAGGCTTGAAGCCCTATGAATAATCTGATGATGCCTAACACAAAACATAAAGGGAATGCCACCACGAACAGCAATACTCTTACAAAAGTCCATGTTTGTGGAAACCTGAAAAATAGGATTTATCAAGAACTTTCTAGCACAAGGAATGATGCAGAGTCAGTAATTACTCTTAGAGTTAAGAAGTTCTCAGAATTAAGCCATGCGTAGCAGCTTAATATTAGAAAATTCGCAGATAATCTCTTGATTTATACATCATACATGAGTAGTCATTGACAATTATTGATAACGCCACATACCTCTGTTCGTTAACATAAAGCTTAACATCTTCGGTTGTTGTTTCAGATTTACTAGGACTGTCTGACTTGTTAAGACTTTCAGTTGCAGTGGTAGCCATTACTTGTGGACGCTAGTACAGGTACAATCGTTATATTAGAGGAAATCAGAATTACCATACACGCCTGTACACGAAAGATCTCAGTCACAATAATATATTTTTTAGTAAAATACAGTCTAGTGTATAAATAAGCTTAATACGGCATTTAAGTCCGTAATTCTTAAGTTTGATTTGTGTAAGTTAAGCTCGGTTTGATTGTCACAGTTACAGTACGAGCTGCATAAGAAGACAACTGTAACCTGGTCTAGTAAACAGTAATCAAAGTATACCAATTTCAACTTACGGTATTGTACACATTGGGGTATAATTGTGATTGACAGGGTTAACAGGTACGGTTAAACAATTAATATTATACAGTACAAAATGCACGTTTTCAAGAAATTGCAATGTTGGATGGAAGAACTTCTGATAGCTGCTCACTGAAGGAAGTGACATTAGCGCAGGCATCACACGATATAAATCAACTGTTTTCAGCAATGCACTCGTAAAACTCTGTATCATAAACTGATGCGAAGCAGGGTGAATTTTACACCTCTTAGTTATCTGAATATTAGCTATAAAATTGAATAGAGTTAATGTCAGCTATCAAACTCCGCGTATCATCCACCAACTCCTTTAACTGACCATTATAAAACTGTAACTCTCTCTCAAGCTCCTCCTTCTCCTTCTCCAGTTCAGATAACTCCTTCTCATCCTCCTCCTCCTCCGGCTCACTCAGTGCCTTCATCACACTCTCTCTGGACAAATTCTCGCGCTGCTCGTTGCTGAAGTGGCCCGTGTGTGAATCCAACACTTTACAGTTTTCTCGCAACTGTTTGAATGTTCTGATCACTGCGTCGCTGTTACCGCTGATCCGTTCTACGCGCATTTTGTGGCGGTTCAGGTCCGGTTCGGTGAGTCTGAATTCTCTGAGACTGTTGAAGACTAACATTGTCTGGTGGACTAAGTCTGAGAGGAGTTCCTGGGTGTTTTGGGGGATTGTGGGGGCAGCGACGGAACCGAGTAGGGAGACATCTTGTACCATAGGGCTGCTGACACTTTCCATTGCTGAGCAAGTTTTAATTAGTTATATATTTTAGGTAAATATGTTACACTTTACTCGATACTCAATAGACAAATCAGTTTAACTGGTACTGGTGACCATTTATGATACGCATATTTTGCATATTACATTCCTATTGAGATTAAAGAAATGAAAAATTGAAAAGTTCTTCAATGAAATTTTCATCAAATATTTAGGTTCAGTCGGGATTAATAAAACAATTTTTTATCAAGTGAACAAATAGTTAGTAAGTACCCTTACTCGTAATATCTATTTCCTTTGTTGTACCTAACTTTTGTTATATTTTACTTTTGTTTAATCTTACTTTTGTTTTATTAATAAAATACTACACTCGTTGACTCTGTCGTGCCCTGCATTATGCGTAAAAATATTCAATATTCAAGAAAAATGAACAATAATAAAAATTGAACGAGTTCTGAGCAAAGAGACATTAAGCCTCCCGCCTAAACGCATCTGGTAAATATAAAAATGTAACATTTAATCTTGATTGACTGCTCTAATACTGTGATCACAAGTATAGCACTAATTGTAAATGTTTTAATCCAGTAAAACTATAAACAGCAACCCAATACAATTCCAACTCACAAATAATATTAATAATAAAAACTTCCTCAAATAGCACATGCTTGTAGTATTGCGTATATATAACAGTGGCAGTATTTGGATAGCAACAATCGTCATGACGTATCAATAATGAAACTTCACGCCCGATTGTGATAATTTAGTTAATGTCTGTGGTAAGGACGTACGAACGAAAACCTTCATCATTAGAAATTATACCACTTTCTGAAAGTGTACCACCAAATATAGGAGCTAACTTGATAAGCAACATGACAACCGTTTAGCCACACACACATCACTCTTCTGGGTGTGACTGCGTTAGCGCTATTTAGCAAGCTTAGCGCTCTTGCACGCTTCAGTCGTCCTCCTTGTTGGCGTCCTCGCACGCGTCAATCCATTCGCTGTACACATCGACCGGTTCTGATAAGTAGTTAACTGCACATTTGTAGTCCTCCATACACACTGTACACTGTATCATAGCACTGTTGTCTGAGGGGTGATAAGAGATTATAAATAAATTCTAACATTTACTACACGCTTCGACATTAAAAATATACTCAACGAAGATGTCCATTTAAGTCATTCTAGCGAGACTTAATAATAAAATTATGCACTTTCAAATCAGTTCAGATAAGATTAAGAATACAGATGAAAAGGTTTATAATATATAAGTCTTATCTGTGCGAACAAGAAATCAAAGGATTAATTACTGTACTTACGCCACAAATACAACTTTTCCAAGAATCAGTGACCAAAGCCATTTTCATAAAAGACAAGGTCAACCAGGAATCAGGATTATTAAAATGTATTTCTAGGGTTACACATTGCTTACCCTTTCAACTTAACCAACACTGATTTCACAGTGGCCTAACACTGATCCAAAACTTCGACATATTATTTTAACAATATGATTAAAATTTTGGGCTACGTTTATTTAACACGTCTACCAACACGCTTCACACACACAACAATGAAACTTACTTTGTCTGTCGATCTTGACATCGCAACTCTTTTCGTGATTACAAAACGGACAGTCGAACAAGGTGTCCAAAATACCCGTCAACTTCTTCTTTGGTGGTGGCTTTCTTTTTGATCTCCTTCGTCCCATTCTTACACCTTGCTATATTGTTCTACTAGTCAAGATAATATCATCTTTTACAAATTTAAATTTCAATATAATTTTACTGAGACTAATAGTTTAAATGCTATTATGAAAAAATTCACACGTTGCAGAATATTTATTACATATGAAAGCAAAATAAGTTTTTATTTCTTCAGAATTATTCCAAATTGTCATATATAATGCAAAAGTTTCTTATCATAGTCTGCCATTTTGAATAATTAGCATTGCAATCAAAGATAATAGATGACATTAGAGCCTTCAAGAGGTTGAAATAGATAATACAATTACTGAATAAATTAGATCTTGTAAGATATTCAATTATGAATAATTAAAACCAGACAATATAGAAAATGTCTTCTAAAATGATTATCATCGACTTGAAAGAAAGGACACAACGCTCATTTTGCATCCAGTTGAAATGGAATTTATATAGTCGAGGAACGCGAACGGTCAGTAATAGACATAGTATATTATGGGCATTGGGCACTCAGTGCAGCACTTATTGGTATTACTTACCGCCAAAATATGCCATTAAAATACAATCTGTTCATAAAAATTTCGGAAGGTCGGGAAACATAACTAACAGTCCTGTTGAAACAGCACTCCACTCTCAAGGAGCAATATAAAGAGCTTCCTTGGCCACCTCACTATTAAAATGAGTCTGCAGATCGGTGAGCTTCTTCTTGAGGACCTGTAATCCTGTCAGTACGATGTTCTCTGGTCTCAGAGACCCGATACTCTCCAGATTAAACCAGAACTTCTCCGGTCTACCAAACACTTCAAAGGGAGCCTCTGTTTGGTCTTCCTCCAGTTCAGAGTAGTCACTCTTGGGCCAGTCAGACGGTACTGGATAGGTCGTGTGCCTGAAGAGAGGAGGTTAGGTGTGAACAGTAATTAACTCATCTCTCATAGTGAGAGGGCACAAAGATTAGGAAATGTGTGATTTGAGCAACCAAACTTTTGGAAACTCTGTTGACATCGAAATCGTGACATCGAGAATTTCCATACTCATATAATTATAAGATAGAAATATCAGTACCTAAGAGCATTGTCGGGATCGTACTCGAAACCAACAGCTGAACACGGACTCCACTTGGTGTGTTCCTTTGCGAACCCCTTCCTCGCGTACATCTTCATCTTGAGATGCTGCCCTCGCCGCAGTTTGCAGATCAGAATATCGTCCTGATAAATATAGTAGAGTTAGATTATTAATTAATTGTACACTGGCCACTGCACTATAGACGAGAGGTTACTATAGGCTGCAGCTGTGGGTAAGTTTAATTTGAATATAACCTTGTTGACGGATATTTACTTTAAAAAGGATGTAATATACACTATACATTACATTACTGAATGATCGTTACTTCAGTAATGTAATGTCATAACTTCAGATAAAGTAGGCAAGTGACCTGGTTAGTATCACCATCAGGCTCGTGGTCCCTGACACGGCTGGTAACAGGTATACACTTCAGATTACTACTGATCAGATCACGTGTGGTCACGTGACGAGGAGTCTCGTCGTTACACCGCACGTCTAACGTCAGCTCTACTGAGCAGTCTCTGCAGTAGTCAACTAGGGGGAGGAGGTGTGGTTTAAGGGAGAGAGTTATTAATATTAGCTCATAAATGTAGACATTAAAGAAAGAGCAATTTGTTTCAACTAACAACGCAGCATTATTATATACAGTACTGACTTACATACATATTCGATAGGCAAAGCTTTATCAATAATATTATGCAACCATGACGTAGTAAATTTATTACCATGTCATATTATTAATTTACCTGGTCAGTTTGTCTCAATCTTAAAGTGTGACCTACACCCACTGTGCCGTGTGTAGTTGAGTAAATATGATGTATATCATCCCATTAATAGTTGTTTAGTATAGTACTCAATGTATTGCGCAACACAATATAACTAACATCACATGAAAATGCTCATGTACGGCAATCCCGTAGATATAGAAAGAAACCAAGGTATTTCAACTCAGAAATGCAACGTAGACTTAAAAACCGCACTAATTATTATTAGGTATAATTAGGCAGAATTCTTGATCTAGGGGATCTATGCGGTCCGTTGGTCGACTCAAAAGGCAATTGTAGGAGAGCGATTTAAGAGGCGTTTGTAGGAGAGCGATTTTAAAGATAGGTTGGTCAGTTACTGCACTTTCTGAACAAAGACTAAGACAATAAAGACAATGACATATTCTCATATTATTGCACTTTGGCTCACAATATAAGCAACCTGATAGTTGTGTTACGAGTTGAAAGTGTAGCCAATACTTGATACCCTCTCCCTTACCCACTACACAGTAAGCTAAAGTTCTTAGTGCGCTACAATAGAGTTGGGTACGAGATCAACCCCTCCCCCCTCTCTTATCTTATCCTATATTGAAACTAACTGGCCCTATTTCTTACAAAGTGTAATAATTTCAGGTGTTATGTTGTACAGTCTACATTAGCTGATGTTTGATGGTTGGGTTTTGTTGTTGCAGAATAATATATCTACTAATATTGCGCAACACACGAAATAGTATCACCACATACAGCTATTAACACAATCACGTTCCCTTACATAATATAATAATAAACTCATAATATAATGTTATATAGACTCATAATATATAATGGTATATAAACTCATAATATAATGTTATATAAACTCTTATAATAATAAATAAATACTCACCACATGAACAATCCCTAAAATTGTGAAGCTGATCCACGATCTCATCTGAAGTCAGGGGAATAAGGCCCATTCTGTGCGATATAAACTCGTCTATGAGAACTGATGTGTTTTGTTGAATCTGCACCCAGTCTATTGCTAGCGTACACACCTGTCACGTGAGGAGTTGGTTGTCACGTGAGAAGTTAGTTGTCACGTGATACAATATTGTCACGTGATATATGTGCTCATTAAAGAAGGAATCTTATATTTTCGATATGTAAAATTATACAGGTTCGCAACATCTGTCTGTAGGGACACTTTGACCATATCAAAATTGTATTTATAGTACTATTTACAATAAAAATAACGATGGTGCGAAGTTTAGGCTGCTAAAGATTTGCTTCACATTTCACACGTACACGTTTAATATAATATTCGATATTATATATGGCTCTAGTTATCAAAGCAATTTGACCAAAAAAAGATAATATCACGAAAATCTTATCAAACCTCCGCTATGAAGACCCTTCTGATGGTATTAGCCAGGGAAAGATCTGTCTTCTCAATGATGAACTTTATGTTCTCATCCGTTAATTCCAGGATTTTAATAGTAGGCTGGTTGGCATACGGCATTTTATCAAGCTATCGTGGTTAAATGATTGGTTAATGATCTATTTGAAATCATTATACTATTATAAACGTTACATGACGTGTTAAGGGGGCAGGGGGGGGTCTTCATGGAAATTTTCTCAAAATCGACTTTTTAGTTGTTTCTGATAGAGGGGAGTGATATCTATCAGATGCTTTTAATCTGATAGAAAAATACTGCTCCTAGCAGAAATTATCGCCGGTAGAAGGTCAGCGCTTGTGTGTAATTGTATTGCGCGAGCGATTTTTGATCGCGTGCCCTGAAAATCGAGTCTAAAAATCTATCTCCTCCTACATTTTTTGAGCAATCACCCTCAAACTTTCAGGAGATGTTCTAGGGATCATTTAGAAGAGATTGTCCGGGCAAAATTTTGAGATAGGCCTTTAAACATTTTTTATTCGATTTTGAAAATCTTGGACCTGGTTTTTTGACGATTTTTCGAGGTCCAAGATTTTTAAAATCGAATAAAAAATGTTTAAAGGCCTATCTCAAAATTTTGCCCGGACAATCTCTTCTAAATGATCCCTAGAACATATCCTGAAAGTTTGAGGGTGATTGCTCAAAAAATGTAGGAGGAGATAGATTTTTAGACTCGATTTTCAGGGCACGCGATCAAAAATCGCTCGCGCAATACAATTACACACAAGCGCTGACCTTTTACCGGCGATAATTTTGGCTAGGAACAATATTTTTCTATCGGATTAAAAGCATCTGATAGATATCACTCTCCTCTATCAGAAACAACTAAAAAGTCGATTTTGAGAAAATTTCCATGAAGACCCCCCCCTGCCCCCTTAATGTATCAGATTACAAATGCTTTCAGTTGGCACGTATTGCATAGTGTACATTACTTCAACATTAAATTAAACACAAGGCCATCTAAAGAATTTTTACTAAATCTTAAGTTAAACACATTTGTACCATCATATTAAATTTTAAAGTTTGTTGAATATAAAATGTACCGCACACAAGTGCAGCTAGGGTAACAGCACAGTAGTGCAATGTGCTGCAAATTGGTTGGAGATTTATAAAAACTCGCAAAGAATTTCACATTCTCGTCATGTTTATCATTGTAGATCATGTTACTTTTCGTAAAACAATTGTGCCCATATTCCATCAATGGCATTTATTAATTCTAGATGATTTATAAATAGGCAAGTCAGCTTTATATCAGAAACTTTATTTCTTTTTAAACAACAGGAACATTATAATGACTAATGATAATATAATTATAATGACTAATGATAATTTCATCTTTTAAGATTAGGAGTAAGACTTGGAGGAAGCCCACAGTCCACACGTTAAAACAACCCTTTAGCAGTTATTAGCAACATTATCGTTCTTACGACAATTTTAACAATCCCTGCAAACAGACCGTTTTGCAATAGTTATTCAAGGACAAATGATAAGATAAGATATCTTCTTCAGGCTTGGGGCACATAGCGCTTGTAATTCTGTTCTTCTTGCGTCGGTCCGTGCACTGATATATCTCACAATCTTCTGAATCTGTGACAACATTCCTAGGAATAACACCACATGTAACACACTAGGATCACGTGACCACTATTGAGTCTCCTGGCTTTGAGACACGCTGGATTGAGATGAGCTAGGGTGTGAGGAGGATTGTTGGGAACTTTGTGCACTGTTCTCCGGGGAAAGAATAGAATCTGCTGTTGTGTCAGATGTTGTTTTGGGCTTGGAGAATATCCAGATAGGACGGCGAAATCCTGAATGAATTCTAAATTGAGCCTTAGCAACTGACAATCAAGAACCTAATCAATTGGAAAGTAACTCAGTGCAATATCGGCTAGAGGCCAGTACGTGAAAATATGGATGGCTGAACAGATTCTTATCATAAATACGCAAATAATTCGACGACACTAAAATTGTAAGATGATTAGTATTAAGTATAGAATTACGTTACCTTTCTGTGTGTGAAAAGGTGTGCCAATGGTTTGCCAGTCAACAAATCCTATTGTCTGGAGATACTGGGGAAACTCGTAAGGTAGGATTTGGATTTCTGCATAGTTCTTATATATAGCGGGCTGCAAATAACAAAGTGTTAAATCAAAAATGTTTAATAACTTTGGCATCGGGACAAGATCATAATTTATTTTTAGAAGCACAAACTCGACTCTGCCCTTTCTTTTCTGTTTGAAACACTGTGATTTCGACACTGCTTCATTTAAGACTTTATTTCTATTGAAATAATTCAAATTTTTACAATGAGAAATGTCTTGAAACTTCAAATGATCAGTAAGTTTGGAATAAAAAAATAAAAATGATTGTGTTACTAACAGTAAGTTTTTTCCTTCTGGCATAGCTCTTCCAATGTTGACATTCCAGAACGAGTTTACCTCCTGGTCTTATTGACTGATACATCTGGTGGGAAAACAGAGGTTACACTTTTGTAACAATACAAATTTGCCAGGTTTTGTTGTTGTTGTGAAAAGGGCAAATCTTCCAGACTTTGGGCAAAGAGTGATATGACCACCATATACGTCATCAAGTAATTAACATGCAAGCTTGAAGCACCGTGGGAAATTAGGGAAGCTGACATTGGGGAACCAATCAATTAGCCTAAGAACCACCTGTTTATTGTAATTTGATTCAAATTGTAATGTTTTTAATTGAGAGACAATGTATTGGTTGGTAATGACAGAAAGTTATTTCAAAGAAAGCCCCCTCACATCAGCTGCTGGGACAGTACTATTTGGTGACGTGATCTGATCCCTCTTGGGGGCCGGATCAGTTCCCTTACCCAAAGTCTCCCACTGAGAATGACATATAATGGCTCATTAAAATTAGAGGTTAGTACCATAATATTAAAACTCATAATTATATATAAAACAAACCTTCTTAAAGAGATTTTTGATACCGTCATCACCCCAGTTAAGATGTACCCACTTGGTCACTGATAAACACATAATGACATCAAACATTTCTGTCACCTCTTTAGCCTCTTCAAGAGGAACCCAATTTTCCTGAATAACATTGCTGTAAGTATTTTAACAGATTACAATGATTAAAATTATAAATCAATGAACAGCTGATCATTAGTCTTTCAGAAAAGACTACTGATATTGATAGACATAATCTATAGTGGACCAACCTTTCTGAAAGCAATATTATGAGGGAATTTGGTATCATTAGATTCCTGGCCAAATAGAGGCCCATAGCAGAGCTGCATTGAAACTGGAAATTTGGAGGACTTTTCTTTGCTTAGATATCTCCTGATATTTTTCCTGGCCACATTGATCAAATTTCCGTCGATGTCAACTCCAACAATCTTCTTAGGCTCATATTCTTTTGCTATGGTGAGTGTTATGTGTCCAATATTACACCCCAAATCAAGGACATCCTTTCCAGCAAACATAGAACCATCAAAATATTTTAACCTTACATCTTGTTCCTTGTCAGGGTTTCTGTACCCATAGTACTTAGAGTAATTTCCATAACAAAACTTTTTAGCTTTCTCATTGAATCTGACTGAGACAGCTGATGGTGGAGCACTTTCTGGATGTTCGCTTATACTAGCACTACTCTTGTGCCTACTGTTCTTCCGCTCTCTTTTTCTTTTTGGTGATCTTTTTAGACATAATGGATCACTCTGATCAACAAATACAATTGGCGTTGGTAAGTCTGCATTATGATCAGGAGAAGGAGTGTAGTTAAGAGTCAAATCTGGATCCTTTAAATTTAAAGGATCTGTTACATCGCCACCAGGAACAAATCCTTTTTCTTTCTCTTGGCTGGAGTAAGAGCTTAGCCTCCGCTTTTTCTTTGTGTAGTTTGGTTTTTTCTTGCCAAACTTGAATTGGGGGTGTGACGGTGTTACTGGCTTCTTCTTCACAGCCACGCTCATCCTAAAGCAATAGATTAAGTTAATAGTGACTTTTTAAAAACAATCATTGAAGCAACACAAGGTGATGCAGCAGCAATGGCTGGGTATGCAATCGGTATTTGTCCTCTTATCAACATCCGGCCAGTTGGTAGATCACCGACCGGCTATAAGCCGGCTACTAACCGGCTATAAGCTGGCTTATAGCCGGCTACAATTTTTATAGCCGGCTTATAGCCGGTTAGTAGCCGCTTACATTTGTTGTTGAGCGACGGCTATTAGCCGGTTATTAGCCTGCTATTAGCCGGTTATAAGATATTAACTCAACTACATCGTACTGAACGATAGTTAGGAGCCGGCTATAAGAAATTCAGTGAAAACGGCTATTAGCCGGTTATAAGCCGGCTATTAGCCGTTTAGGTATCGAAAGTGGTTATAAGCCGGCTATAAGCCGGTTTTAAGATATTAACTCAGTTCAGTACGATGTAAGCGGCTACTAACCGGCTATAAGCCGGCTTAAAGCCGGCTATAAAAATTGTAGCCGGCTATAAGCCGGCTTATAGCCGGCTTATAACCGGCTTATAGCCGGTCGGTGATCTACCAATTTCCCCAACATCCTGGCCAACATGACAAAATTAGGAGAATTGATGCAGGCCTGGTGCGCGGATGACTCTGCAGCAGAGGCAGCTATCGAGGGCGTCCAGGCGTCCGTGGACGCCCTAAAATTATTATCTGGTGGCTGGTGCTTGAAAATAGAAATATTGATTAGTAATGGTATTCGGAAATATCTAACCGCAATATAAAGCTCTCTATTCATTCAAACGTTCGATGTAAGCGCACGCATGATCTTTGTGAAATTTTGTGTTGTAGGGTGTCCAATCCTTGTTTGGACAACTAAGACGCGCAGTTTTAACACATAGTTAATTGTAAACAGTACAAAGCACATCAAGCGCATCCACTACAGGTTATCTATATGATTTGGTTGTCCAGGACACCTTGCACCTTGGCTGAGATCGTACACGTGTGTGTCCTGTTTCACTCATATAAGTTTTTGTTTTTGTTTATTTGCTGTCGCCTGTGACACATTACATACATGAGGCACTGTGGCCTGTGTGTAACTGTAATGTACGTTGGAATAATTTAATTAATTAATTAACTCTCTGCTATGGTAATGGTATTGTATACAGTCATCGGTGAATAGACATCAGCAGTTTCGGGGGGGGGGGGGGGGGAGCCTGCTCTGCAGTGCCAGCAGGTATTTTGAAGAAACTCATGGAGTGGTGGAATTTACTCAGTGTGAATGGTCCTAAGTTAGGTTACAAGTAGCCGCTACTTCCCTTAAGCAATGAAAATTGAAAACTATTCTTATCCTAAAAGAAAAGTTGCTTTTACCACTAAAGGAGGAATGGCACCTGTGGCCAAGCGTTTCGTTAGGAGACTTGCTGCGTTGATAGCTACCAAGATGAAGTAAAATACAATTTTTATTTTCCACAGAAGAATGAATACATATTGAATTATAAATATCCGATAATTCCATTAATAATCATTAAAAGTTGCTTTGCCATTTGTAAAATAAAAAACGAAAAGCCGTACGCTGAACTGTGAACTCGCGCGGCGTTTTTCCTGCAGCTGCCTAGCTTCAAGCTTGTAGCCGCTAACATCAAAGCCGCCGCGCGCGCCCAGTGCTGGGGTGCATTCTCATTAACAATTAAACTTGGTCAGAGATAGTTATATACAATTCCTAAATTAAATCAATAATCATGTTAATATGAGTATTCAACACTACTCGACAACAAATATTTGCCGGCCCATCAACGATTCAGTCTTTTTTTATCTAGACACTTATTTTACTTCGGTGTATTCCAACAGCCACAATGTTACACAAGTGCAACCAGCCAATTACAGGAAGCCGAAGGATCTTTTTGGCCAGTGACGGTTAAGGTAGTGTGTACCATACTTTCTTCGTCCGAGACTTTGCTGCAATGTGCAGCTCCTCATTTAACCCTCACACCTGATTTCTCGAGTATTCGGCTGAGTAGACCGGGGGGCTGCATAGACCACTCATGATCCTTAGCTGAACGTCGACGACGCTCACCCCACGACCAGGCAGTCAGTGGGTTTCGAACTCGCAACCTAACGATTGTAGGACAGCGATTCAAAAAGCGCATGCCGTTAAACACCTACCCTTTGCGAACAAAATCAAAGTGGGGGATTTTGAATAACTATATCGACTAACTCAACTTACGGTTTAAATCGTTAAAGCTTACTTCTCCTTAAGCACTGGCATCGCAACGCGAAACGTTTGATACGACAACTATTGGACCCAACCAGGTCCTAATAATTAAAGCTGTGCGGGATAAAATAATTAAAGAATATCATATGTCCTAACCCACCAAAGGATTAACCTGACTTGCTCTCCATTACACCGATGGATGTGCCAACTCGAGCCTCATCAAGGTTAAACACGTCATAATCACTCACCAAGGTTGACCAATCTTTCAGCTAGCCTATAACCAGTGATGAAATTGCTGATTACCAAGCATTTTCTAGTACTCAGTTCACGTAAAAATTTCCAACTTCAAACGATATTAACACCCCCTTAAGATGATCCTACACTGCAACATCAAGGCAGCGGGCCTTTGTATACACTTTACAAGACAATAATCTGCTCCACAATTAATAGGATATGTTAATTGACAGTATGAATATATAATATTGAAATGCAGTAAACTGTCATAACAGATAAGAACCAATGAATCAGTGTGATCGCAAGGACAAAACAGTGTATGCAATCTAGACACAAAACAACCATTTTATAAACAACAACAAGTAAAAAATTCTGGACACCAATAATGGGGATAGCATTGTATGGACTAACTAGTCAACTTTTGATAAATGGATCTTTGTGTCAGTGTGAGGCCCTCGTCATTTCCTGTAAAGTTCTACAATGAATCGTCCGTCCAACACCAGCTCCTATTGTGTCTGGAGGTGCAAGACACCAGTTACCTGCAACTGAAAGAAGAGCTGGGTGGGGCAGACTCACATTCCTATCTAGATGAAGTGTTAACAAAAAGCAGCACACAAAAAGCATTCATTAGGAGAGTCGAATTTCTTTGGGGACAAAATGATGCTCTCCAGGATTTATCCAACTAGAAAGATCATGAAATAAAGACTCTGCAAACATCTCAGAGAAATATTACCACCATAAAGAACAAAGAGGGAGTATCCTGGACCCCGAAATCCACCACTTTTCTGTACTTTCAGAGGTACCAATGTGGCAGGAAACCAGGGCTCATGCTGCCGCTGAGCTAAAGCAGTAGAGGGGATGGCGGCTTCTCTAGGATCTAACACGTCCTGAAGCAGACCAACACTATGTCCCAACGCACTGGTGTTGGGATGTCTGCCCCCGGTGCCTGTCCGGGTCAATAAAGCAGTCAAGCATCATGTATGTTATGTTGAGCATTCTCAACCAACAAATGTGGGAACTCCCACGAAAAGACCAAAACAGATCTAAAGAGACACTTAACAACATTGGAAAAATAGACTTAAATTTGTTTATATAATTTAAAAAGCGTATATTATTGCCCACGTTAAGGGGCCTGTTAATAATTTAATAAATTATTAGCTATTTTAGATTTAATAATAATAACTAACGATTGTAAGACAGGCGTTCTAACCAACTGCGCTACCTGGCCGTTAACACCTACCTCGCCGAAACAAAAATCAAATGTTTGCTTTTTCGTTTCGGGGACTGTTTGAACTCAGTACTATATCCGACTAATCATACTTTATAATGGTTAAAATACAAAGTAAAAAGATTTTCCTCGATGGGCCGGCATTCGCAACCGCGAAACGTTTTGAGTACGACAAACGATGACACCACCACCAGCCGTTAATTAATAAGTCCATGGGTGGCGGGATAAAGTTAAAGTAAGATGTGTAATTTCATATTGCCTATCACCTATCACCAAAGTTACTTTGCATATACTGCTTCTAGTTACACGATAGCGATCTCAGTTCCCAATAACGTGTGACCCAACAGAAGGGATTGTGGAAGGACACGTACGTTTTTCATTAACACGTGCCCTGATTACCCCCTCCGTTGAGCTGAAGGAGGACTATAACAGCCAGTGACGTAATGTTGCCTGTTAGCCCCTAACGCAGTTTTGCTAGTACCTCAGTTAGGTTTTTCAAAATTGTCCCACACTCAAACGATGATTTGACACCCCCTTAAGATGGCATCCCCTGCACAGCAGGGTCAGCGGGGCCCTTTGTTATACCACTTCAACAAAGACACATATTCTGCCCACAATTGCAATAGGGGGCCATAATTGTTTAAATTATGTAACTGTATAGAATTATTATTATTATTATTTAAACTGTACAGTAAAAGTGTGTCAAACAGTGTATATACATTTAATTAAATCAAGTGATGCAATTGGCAGAGGACAATCAAATTTTTAGTTATGCAATTAGCATATCACAATACATTGCTACCAATATTTTAAAACTTTAACAATCAAATAGAAACAAGTTTCGAAACACATTATATGGGCAGGAATGAGGTTGTATGAGACTAGTAGACTTTTGATAGATGGATCTTTGTATCACGTTGTGACCCTACGGTCATTTCACTATGGTGTAGAGTTTCTACGATACAGGGGAGCCGCGCACTCGTGCACGGCGGGTCATACAACGTATGACAAATAGATCTCATGTTTGGTGTTTGGAGGACTTCGCGGTTCGCCGCTTCGACGCGCCGCGCAAACTAGCATTCTTGCTTCGCATCGTCGACGATCGTTGCTCTGCGACGGATTGACATCGTCAATCAAGTTTGGTGTCCACCTTTAGCTTTCCTCGGTACTTTCGTAGTAGAGCAATAAGATTTTGAAAAATTTATATATATCTCCCGGCCCCTTCTTTGCTCGACTTTTATAATAAATATATTTTGTCATATTTTCGTCATATTTTTAAAAGGCGCAGTTTATATTTCCAATCCCCACTGAAATAACAATCCCCAAATTGCGCGCATTTCACACTTGTTGACGGATGTTACTCGTCTAAATTTCTTCGAAGTAGCGCGCTCCGCTTTCTTCTCGGAATATTATGGCCATGGCCTTGTAGGTTTACAACCTACCTTGTAGCGCGATGCACTACTGGGTCGCGCGCGCATCAAATAATGCTTCTCGCAACAACACGTATACAGATCGGCGTCCGGCGAGATGCGAAGGATTGACATCGTGAATCAACAACCTACCAGGACGCGCGCCGAGTTGGACTCGTCGTTGATTCACGATGTCAATCTTTCGCATCTCGCCGATCTGCATACGTGTGGTTGCATACGTGTGGTTGCGAGAAGAATTATTTGATGCGCGGCGCGACCCAGTAGTGCATCGCGCTACAAGACTCGTCGACGGTCCTGAAAAAAATATTTTACGAGTATCACCCGTTAACCATGGCCTGATGGCCCGATGGCAAGTGCAAGTGCTACGAAGTAGCGCGCGCCGGGCCAAACCATTAACAATGGTCAACACACTTGTAGCGCGTAGATCGGCGAAATGCACCACTGGGCCTCGCTGATCTGCGAATGATTAAAATCGTGAATTTCAAATTGGGCACAAACTCCAAAACCTTCCTGTCTTAATTTTATTTCCCGTACAAAGCACGATAGCACAAATATTTTTTGTCGAGGTGCATCAAAATTTGCTTTAACCGACCACATGAACTGGAGCCCTCGCAGTAGCGCGCTTTGTAATGCGATTTCGGAGGGCAGGCGGCCTTCCTTAGCTCTACTACTATACTACTATGCAATACGAGTTCGGAAGCGGGATTTAAAATGCAAAAATTTTAATTGTTAATGTTTAAAAGTTTTTCTGGAAACTTCTTTTCTCCTCAGTTCTTACCTGGGGACCTCAGACTCTCTGGATGTTCATTAACATAAATAAAGAGTCGTCGGAATGCGAATGACAGGCTGAGCGCCGCTTAGTATAATAAACACAGTTCATGCCTCCCTAATCATTGTGCATTAGGAGCCGTAAATTATGTTATTTTGGTTTTTCACAAGTTTTTATGTTTTCTATCCCGATTTCGAAGTCCCCACCTCACCCTAGACACTGATCGATATAAAGTCTTGTTGTCGAGGTTCCCCTTTGTAATGTGATTAAATCGTAGGGCAGGCCTCCCTTACTAATACTATGCAATACGAGTTTGGAAGCGAGAGTCAAAAATTTTAAAAGTTTTCCAGGATACTACTTTTTCCCACAGTTCATGTCACCCTGTACTGATCATTATTAACCGAAAATATTTTTTAAAAAGTTTTTCGAAAGTTTCCAAAATCCATAAGTTTTCATGTACAATGTATGTAATGTTTTTTCAATTATCTCAATTTTGTCCATTACATTGTTAATGGCCTAGCCCGGCTTACCTGGGGACCTCAGGCTATCATGTTCATAAACATATAGAGATTTTACCTGGGGACCTCAGGCTATCATGTTCATTAACATAAAGATTCGGCGGAATGACAGGCTGCGCGCGGCCCAGTAAATAGAGATTAGGCGGAATGACAGGCTGAGCGCGGCCTAGTAAAGTAAAACCCGGCGCGCGCTACTTCGTAGCACTTGCCTCGGGCCAAAGAAATTCGAAGAAATTTAGACGAGTAACATCTGTCAATCCCGATTTCGAAGTCCCCACCTCACCCTCGATATACGATCTTGGAGTCGAAGGACGAGGTTCCCCTTTTGTAATCAGTAATGCGGCCAAAAAACAAAAGTCAATACCCATACTAGGGGGTGCGCCATAAAAGTAAACTTGCTCGGATTTAAAAAATTTTTGTACCATTGTTTTCTAGAGACTGTGAGAATTTTCACAATACCAAATTTGTCATACCTTTTTGGAAAGATCAGTGAGTTTCGCCTAGGTGCCATATTTGATGGTGCGCGGCTTTTGGAGCAAAATTAGCTGTAAAAGTCGCGTAATTTGACCAAATTTGACCAAATTCGTTGATTTTTGTCGTATTATTTGGATATATCTTCAGTTCCTTGAATGAGATCATTCTGAAAATTGGCGACGACCTTCCAATAGGGCTTTCACAACTGTCCGAAAAATTTGGTGGATATCGGAGTTGATATATGATATAGTGATCAAAATGGGGCAAAATACGCTGCTTTTAGCTGTAACATAATGTCTGATGGTTGGATATGCTTTAAACTTTTCGGACACCTTTCTTGTAAGTCTATAAGTAAGCTTACCAATTTTTGTTGCAATCAGAGGTCGGGAAGGATACTTAATATCTATTTGTTTGAAGAAAATTGTGCTGGCCGAAATTAGCGCTAAAAAACCATCCTACAGTCGGCACGCGCGGCTCACTGTCGATGGCGCACTACCTACCCATACGCTGGCCTTAATAGCTCAATCACTGAGTGCCGGACAATTGAAATAATTCTTTCTGGTATAACTTACCACCACGACTTACTTACTAGTACTACCACCACTGGTTCGAGGAATTTGTCAAATCGAAAAATATTCGTGTTCATTTTCTTCAAATGAAAGCAGAAGGTTCATTTTCGCATCTAATAGATAGTTTGGATATAATAGTCGGATCGAGCCAGATTTTATTGAATGGTGTTTGGCCATTTCACATTTGAATTACGTTTGTCCTGAAAAATGAGAGTTCTAGCTTCTCATATGACGGAGATATGATCAAGCATAACGAGTTTGTTCATTACGTGTGATCAGATGATTGGGACATTGGGTTGAGGCTAGATCCGCATTATAGGAATCGTGCAGAGAGCCCAATTACGGTAAACGGATGATACTCGTAAAATATTTGTTCCATATATTAGGGACCGTCGACGAGTCCAACTCGGCGCGCGTCCTGGTAGGTTGTAAACCTACAAAATTACGGTGTCGTAATTGGGTAATCATTGAGTACCCAAATCCCAATCAATTTTGCTAACAGTAACAAGATAAACAGATTGCTTGATAACTTCGTCGTTTTAAATCTATTTCGCACCATCTTTTCAGATTATATTCCGGATTCAATGACCTATTGCAATATGTTACAATGGAGTCTCTAACATGTTCACAGATGCCAGTATAAGCAATTCAATGTTAATTGGGTGTGGCCCCCAAAAATAGAATTTTCAAATTTTGGTGACGGAATCCTTGAACAAGTAGGTACAGTATGCCATCTGCAAAGCAACAACTCTCAAATATAAAACACAGCGGTGGTATAAGACCCAATGTATGGGTACTGACTTTTGGCGCCCCCCCCCCCCTCTGTATTAGTTCATACCGTAGTTCTTTGCCAAAGACTGCCAATGTTAAATTGCAGTTGTAATATAAAACAGGGGACCCACACAGCACCAAGCAATCCAAGCCAAGAAATTTTACCTCCACGTTGATTGTACAGTTTTTCCTATTTGAGTCGACTACAATGAAGTTTTGCGAATTTTCTTATCAGAGTGCTCGATATTGTATACTATGTTTACATCCCATATATCTCGATATGATTATGATCTATTAGCCAGTATTAATGATTAATATCATCACAGTGTTTGATGATTCGAGCAATCCAATAGTAAACCACCAACACCGATCACCACAGAATATTTAAAAACCCATGAATTGTATTTCTCCGCTAATTCCTTTCAGAATTAATAAATTTTCCACCTCACAATATAATCATCGTATTTCTAACTGCCAGTTAAAACTGTTTACGTAGTAACAGCGGTGCACTCAGCATGTAATGAACACTGCACTCTTACATTAACAATGTGGTCATAGACCAGGAAATCACCACTGTGCCACAAGCTGCATTATATATTTAGATCAAATTCAATTGTAATTACATACACGCTGATTGGTGGCACATCTCATATTCGCATTATTACTTTATCCAGTTTATTTCGTGTTACGTTTGCGTTAGCTCCAACCCGCCGGATACATGTTTTCCTGATATTAATTCAATACACGCTGTGCTCAATTACAGTAAAAGTGAGTAGGGAGGAAGGCCAGTGAAGTGAACAGAATAGACGTCACGTGATACCGAGCAGCTGCAGTTTGCTGCACATTCTCTCTCAGGACACCTCCTGCTTTCTCTCCTTTATACATTCTGAACTCTGCTAAATGTTACGTTTACCGCATGTGAATCTTAACGAGACATTATGATATTGTTAGTGAGCGTGTTGTTAGTCGGGTATTGTTCGGCTTTTAACATAGACACTCAAACACCCTACGTGCTGTATGGAAATGGGGGCGAGCATTTCGGCTTCTCAGTTGCTCTTCATAAAACAGGAACTGACACGAGGTTACTGGTAGGGGCCCCAACAGCAGACACATCACAAAATGGCGTGGATGATGCCGGCACTGTCTACGCTTGCAGGATACCCGACCCGATGGAGGAGCCTAGACAAGCCACCAGGTGTTCCACCCAGGTCCCCTCGTTTGATCCAACTGGTAACAAGTTTCTCAGTTTGGACGGGTCAGGCAACGCACCCCGGAACTCTGACGGAAGTATAAAGTTTAACTATGTCAATGACGGTTACATGCAAGAAAATAAGACAGGACAGTGGATGGGCGTGGCACTAAGGTCTAACGGTGAATACGTAGTGGCATGTGCTCACAGGTTCATCAGAGTAGCTCACAACTACCGCAAAAACACTTTCGATACCCAGCCCATTGGCAAATGCTCGGTAGTTTCCGGGGACTTGTCTAGTCAGTTAGCTGAATATAAACCTTGTTGGGGAGATACGACTGGCTACGAAATGTCATCTTGTCAAGCTGGAACCAGCGTGGACATCTCACCAACCTCCTTCGTCTTCGGGGGACCCGGAGCTTACAGAGGAGAAGGTAAAGCTTACATGGGCAACGACTTTACAAAACCAGGGTCAACAGAGACTTCAAAACAGAAAGAGGGAGGAGAGGCTGGACAATGGTACACGGGTTACAGTACTGCTATCTGTGACGTTAACGGAGACGGTAAAGATGATGTTATTACAGCAGCACCCCGAGCAGAGACCTACATGGGCAAACTATTCGTGTACACTAAAACAGGGGACAAGTTGAACAAACACAAGGAGATTGACGGGATGCAGATTGGGGAGTACTTCGGCTACAGCATGGATTGTGGGGATTTCAATGGTGATGGGTTGGCTGATGTCATAGTGGGCGCTCCCTACTACTCCAGAGACACTTCAGGTCAGTACTTAATTTTACTGTCTACATTCGACTAATTAGTGACTAATAACAGACATTTTTATTATTATGCCAGCAAATCATGAAAATGTTCTTTGATGCTGGCCATTGCCATATTCACTTATCATTTCATAGGATGATATTGAACAACTCACGGAAATAGCCACATAAACTACCATCACAGTTCATCTTAAAACTACTTACCATAATAATGAAGTACCGTAACCACATCTTTACTTCAGGACAAGCCCGACTACAGTCCACTGGACGAGCCTATATTTACTACGGTAGTCGAGAAGAATACCTCTCTGACAAACCAACCATCATAGACGGAGGAGTTATCCAGAACACACAGTTCGGTAGCTCGGTAAGAAGTGTCGGAGATATCAACAAAGATGGAATGGGGGATGTGATGATCGGGGCACCCTTCGATTCAAACGGTGTGGTTTATCTATATCTAGGAACAGAAAGTGGAGTGGAGACAGAGCCCAGACAAACGATCAGGCCTAGCGACCTGGCTGTGTCCAACACCATCACCACTTTTGGGTGGAGTCTGGACGGAGGGGTGGACATGGACGATAACAGTTACCCGGACGTAATGGTGGGAACTATGAATGGTCACGCTGTTTATTTGAGAGCCCTGCCCATCATAGATCTGGAGGCTGATATCGTTATCAGCCCGGACACCCCCATAAACAGAACAAACCCAGATCTGAGGGTCAATGTGCCTGATAACCCTAGCTATCAAGCAGCCGCAGTGGACATCAAGATATGTTTCAAATATCTGAAGGGAGTTGTGGATGGAACCAGCCAAGAAATAGAGGTTAACTACACACTTATCTCAGACTACAAAAACGCTAAAGGGTTCAGGATGTACTTCAAGCCTAGCACAAGTGATCCTAAATCACAGAGGCTGATGGGTAGAACAGTGGTGAGCACAGATGGGACACAGTCTTGTACCTCAATGTTCAAATCATACTTTAACGACGAGATTTACGACTTCAGACATATTTACTTCAAGCTGGAAGCGGATGTTAAGGACAGTCGGTCCTTTAGTAACAGGGTTACACTTAATGATAAACTCATCGATGCTGCAGGTGAGTCTTGCTCGATCATACCCCTACATTTTCCATAACTGATGAACCTCCCTTCATTAATTTTTCCCCTTACAGCTCAAGAGAATCATCATACCTTAATTTCGTTAAAATCCAAATGAATGAAAAACGAACAACCCCTTACAGAGGACAGAGTGGTAATGCAGTCTGGGTGTACCAAACCCAGCGGGGTGTGTCAGGCAGACCTACAACTTTCTCCCATACAGTTCGAGATCAGCCCTAAAGGTTACGAAGCTATCGCCATTGATCGAACAGATTACGTTGTCTTCAGTATAAATGTAAGTAAATTGTTTGAAATGGTGGTGGAAAATGAGATGAGTAAAACTTTGAAAAAGGTTACTTAGTTAAAGTTATCTTTTTGCTGCATTGCGAACAAGAATTATAGTGACCAAAAATGTAAACCATCTAAAACAATCTACAATCAACCAGGTTACAAACAAGGGAGAAGACGATGCATTCAGATCGGAACTGTCCATCACCCTGCCACGGAACATCATCTTCAACAGAAGGCAAGCTATCGGAGGTCAGAGCGAAGAGGATATAGGACACATCAAGTGCATCACAAAACAAGACGAGGATCTCACCAACAAGGTCATCTGCTCTCTCTCCCAGGAACTACAGGTCGGAGCTAGCGAGATATTCGGCTTGTCCGTCATTACCACTAATATCGAAGATTTGTCCCAGAAGACACTCTTGTTTGATTTCAATGCAAGGGTCCAGGAACCCAGTGAAGAGCTAGGTTTGTGAATACTTGTAGTAGTTCCTTCTTTTTTTGTAAACCAAATCAAGTTCAACGCATGGTAATTTGTTTTTCAAGTGCAAACTGAACAGGACAGAGCTTCCTGTAATTTCCTCCACCAAATATCTATGTTAAAAAAATGCTCAACTTAAGATCTAAAGTGGTGTTCCCCTCAGAAACCCTACTGGGAGATAACAACCAGAAGGTAACGATACAAGTGGGGTACCCTGCTGGAATAGAACTGTTAGGCAGACCTCTCAGAGAGAGACAACCTTACAGTAATGATGTAAAGGATGACGGCTCCTCTCCATCTACTGCTAAAGCTATTGGTCCGGATGTTAGACATGAACTTGAGGTTAGTGTAACATTTAGATTGTATGTATATTACATGTTATAGTAGTAAGCAATGCAAACAAAGGGTTAGAAACACAGACAGACTCAGGAACAAACAGACTTAGGAACAACAGAAAACAGACAGACTAACAGACAAACAGGGTGACAGCCCGAGCAACTAGAGAAACCAGTAGACTTACAGACAATATGACTGACAGACAGCACACGTCATGACCGACATATATCAAAGTCCTAACAGAATGTGTACTCAGGTGAGCATAGCAGATGGAGCCCAGGAAGAAGCATTTGATAACGTAGTTCTGGAGGTAAACTGGCCGGAATTCATGGGAAACAACGAGGACTACCTGCTGTACCTGGTACATGTCAGTATTGAGGACCCTACAGAAGACAACACGTATTGTGTCTCTAACGGTATCATTAACGACGCGGATGTGAAGGATAACACAGTACGTAAGAGGAGGGCGGCTGACAAGGAAACCCCGCAGGACCGACCCCCTGTGAACTGTGCGGACACTGACATGCAGGGGTGTCGCAACTTCAACTGCTACATTACCAGGCTGGACAAGGATAACACTATCAAGATCAAGTTCTACGCGCGGCTCTGGGAGTCCACCTTGTATAATGTGGGTAATATCAATGTCACGTCCTTCGTGAGTGTTACCAAGGTGGACCAGGAGGATTTCGTGTTTGGTCCGGAGGGTAAGAGTGCGATGAAGTCTCAGTTCTATCCGAGCTCAGCCACAAGACGGAACTATCTGTGGATTATCATAGGATCAATTATTGCTGGTATTTTGTTGTTAGTTCTTATCATTATTATACTATGGAAGTGCGGCTTCTTCAAACGTAAAGCACCACCAGCAGTCACAGCACAGGCACATGAACATGCGGCAGAAGGGTGACGTTAAACCTCAGAGTGAGGTTAAACCTCGGAGTGAGCTGCAACCTGACATAACCTAAAGAACAACACCTTGAAACGTTTTGTGCTTAATAGATTATAGGTGTTCTTAATATTGATTATTTGTACTTTTGTATCTTTAAATTGAGACTTAACCTGATATTGAGTTCAACCCCCAAAGTCAGAGGCATATTTTGATAAAATATAAAGTTATATTTGAGTTCGTGTGTGTACAGTATATTGATTTGATATTTTTGTAAACCATCCTCTATTTTGTACATGTGGTTGAACAATGCTTGGTCTCTATATCAAACATAATTGGATTCATTTCCTCACTCGCCAGGTCAATGTACACGATGCAAGTGTGTAATCTATACATTGCTTGCTTTGTTTACACTCATAGAGTGCTAAATTTGGTAACATGACATTAATTAATTGAATCTGTTGGATAGCGATTTGTAACAAGGATATTCAACTTGGGATGATCTGATAAATCTCTAAAATGCAGTGAAGATTGTGGTTTCTATATTTCGGTAATTTACAAGCAACTTTACTAAAGAATAGAGTATGATTTACAATAAAATGTTCGTGTATTTACAGGTTTACATCTCTGAGCACAGCCTAATAGCCCACAGCTACGACGCAGTGGAGATAATGGGGCACTGGCCCCTCTACTACCCCGGTACCCGGACCCTGCTCCTGGACCTCTACAATTACATCCCTTCCAGTGACTTGGTAGAGTGCTCCTTTAGTCCCCACTTTACTCTCAGCACTGAAGACTGGGACAATGTGGCAGCAGGAACCAGATGGAGTAGGAGTACAGTGTGGCCCCACAGAAAGAAGGGGGCAGGGTGGAGGTACCCTAGCAGGGGTAAGAGAGAGGAGGAGGTGGGGACTCGGCTATCAGGGAGTGCTGAGGGAAACAAGATGGACTGTTCTGTTGATAGTAAGAACTGTAAACAGTTCACTTGTTATATCAGCAAGTTGAGGAAGAATGAGACGGTCTCAGTGAGATTTCTATCAGTTTTGAACACCGATAGTATAGATACCGAACAGATATCATACACCAATCTTACGTTAACACCATATTTCGAAATAATAGCAGTAGCCCAAGACACTTCAAATAACCCGTTGGTTTACGGGCCTGAGGGTCAAGCAGCTACAGCGACAGACTTTGTAGAAACCGAGGCCGCAGTGGGAAAGGAGGATTACAGCTGGATAATACTGGTAGCTATAGTTGTTGGGTTGTTATTGTTGGGAGTAGCGGTCATTATCATGGTTTGCTGCTGTGGCTTCTGTAAAGACGATGAGACCAGGCATGTTCCTCTAAGTAATATGGACGATCATAATAATGCCGAAACCAAAGTGTAACCACCACTTTTTTATTCATATTTTTAAAAATTGAACAAATTGGAAAAGATATTTTTATAAGTAAGTTATTTTATGCCATTAAATTTAACTTTTACATCGAAACACCTTAGTTTCCACTATATAACATCAAATAAACAGTATAATTTCAAAACGTCCCAAACCAAGACTCGACACGCTGTGTCCGATAGTCAGGTCCCCGTCGTTGATAATAATCTGAAGTCAGGTTCGTTCTGATGACACATATCATCAGATTCTAGAAGATAATGACGTCATCACGGTGATATGACGTCATCAGTTGTCTTTTCTGGGTTTCTTGGCGGCACTCTCCCCAGGCTCATCGTCATCATCGTCCTCCTTCTTGTTCTTGTTACCTTTCTGTATGTTACCCATCACACTTTTTACTGCCTCGCTACTTGGATCCACGCCCGGTAGGTCCGTTAGAACCTGGAATAGTGGGGGTTATTTTTAATGAATTAAAGTAAAGTAATTTTTTAGAGCTGTAAAAATTAGAAAATCACTTAGAAAACCGGTAGTACAATCAACATTCTTGATGACGTATACACTGGTTAGATTGACAGGTAAAATCTAAAGGGACAGGAAAAAATAATAGAGATTTCCGATTTTAAATTTCAAAAAGGTCATGAAGTGGTGACCCGAAATCTTTCCCAATCATCTGATAGGAGACAATCCAAACCGGTCTTGTTGATGTCATAAACATGGTAATAGTATGTTATGTGCAGAGTGCATGCCGCAAAAAGTAAACAAATAAGGTGAAGTCTGGGCTCATGACGCCTTATTAAGTTCCCATTATATAACGAGTGGTAATCTCCAACAGATCCGTGTCATGCTCCTCGTTATCCTGTACACTCTAATAACAGGTCTTTATCCTTATTTCATGACTGGAAGTTATGTGTACCTGTGCTGCATATTTTAAAAGTTACCAATAGATAACCCCTATTTGGCTTCAGTATTCAGGAAATTTAGGCAATCTACGAGTTCTAGATTTGTATAAGTTTATAAAAGTTTAAACGTTTCGTGTAGTCCTGAGCGGATTTTTGTTAAGGAGGCTTTTAATTGTGAAGTAATGATGATGCGGATAATATGGAGGTGGCACTGGTTTGTGACATGGTGACATCGATAAACGAATCTGCTTGCAGTATCGACCAATCAAGTCTCAGGATTGATGTTACATTTCACACGTCAACAAAACTTGTGCCACCGCCCTCTAAATACCGTTATCAATAATTTGAGTTTACTGTATAGAGGCTTTCCTAATTCCTTGAGGAATCCTTGTGCTTTGGTTTCGAACGTTTGCTATCTGGATCTTGTTAGCGCGGCCATTGTTAGTCGTGAAATTGGATCTGGGAATGAAGTTACCAGAGACTATCGGAGTGTAACTAGAACTGAAATTGAGCGGATGTACACAGGAGCTGGGTATAATTGGCGCTTTTGTTAACAGTGGATCTCAATTTGTGAAGCCAGGTCTAAATTAGAGACCAGTAATTCTGCTGTCCAAGTCAAGTTTTGTTGATGGAATCTTATCTGATAACTGTTTCAACTGAATTTGTAATTCTAGTGATTTTTCTTTCTTTTTTTCCCTAAATAATTGAATAATTTTATTACATCATACAACAAGTATTTTAGTAAGATTATGATGTCCAAAATTAGAAGTGAAAGCATTTCTGGCATCAGTTCACTGTTCAATAACCGACCGCGCCCCACGGGCAAGAAAGCCCCTAAATATCTCCGACTCTGACAAGGAATAAGGGTTCTGCCTCAGGATCGGCGGTTTTGTTGTAAAAATGTGTGGTCTACATCTAAGTTAGCGCAGTGTTCACCGTACCCACTACCCAAGTGGCTCCTATAACTGGTGTGCAGTTTATAATAACACTGAACACAGTTCTCCTTGTTCGATTTCCGGCTACAGCTATATAAAATCACTGCTGAACCGGGCGGCTTCAATTATCATGCCGTGCCTGGTACATGCTCCTGATATTAGTTACCTATCTTTAATAACTGTTTGGCAGGTGGTCAAAGACTCATAGTTCCCTGATAATCAATCTCTTTCCATTTGACAGCAAATTAGTGCAGAGCTATGAAACGTCAGTGCACTCAGTTATATGACATCACAGTGATCGTATCAGCAGATTAGTCAGGCAGCTCGCAGTTTACAATACTAAACCTACATCACAATGCAACAATACTTGTCCACCTCATGCCCCCTTGTGTTATATCACATTGAGCACCAGGAAACCAGGACACATTCCACCCGGGATGATTCAGTGATGGTTAATGTGATGATAGCATGATCGGTAGAGGGTATTGTATAACCAGGCCTCTTAAAGCATGACCTGCTCTTCATTGCTGCAGGACAATGAGGACATTGAGGACAATGAGGACATTGAGGACAATGAGCCTGAGTTACTTGCCCGGTCACAGTGTCGTGTGTTTAATCTGAAGGGTTATTAACATGCTTAACCAACCGAGTTACCGGGTTAGGGAACCAAATTTTCTGATTATTCCCGTAAATGCCATTTAATCATTTTGCTAACTCAAATTTGTCTGTAATCTCCGGGTTGACTTCGGTTTCTGCGCAATCCCAGCTCAAATATGGAGGTTTAGCAATTTTCTGACTCACAGTTCGTCTGGATTTAGGGATCCCTGGGAAATTTTTCCTGCAACAAAATTCTTACAAAGGATTCCTTTAGACTTAGTAAGACATGCTCTTTAAACATAGAAAGAGAGCATTTCCTTTCTGCTTTTCATCTACTAAGCATCTGAGTAGTATTTTATTATACGGTTTCTACCATTCTTGCAATCAAGTTGTCTTAATTTTCATGCACGTACGACAAGCTATGGTGACTAAATTTTCCCAAGTCATCATTAGTGTTTAAAGTCCACTTAAGTTGTTTCTGTAACATGAGTGATTGAATATTAGTACTTAGTAGGCATCACTGACGTACGTCGTACACTATCAAAGACATGATCACAGAAGTTTAGGGGACGTCAATTAATACGTCAAGTCCCTGACTCGAATAAAAGAGATCTACCGCGCAGTAAAATTGTCTAGCGGTACTAATCGTCTTCCGGTCAGCAGACCATACCTCTAGAGTCTAGACCTTACCTGATCTAATATGTTAATTAACTAATGCAGTGCTGAGCACGGCAGTGCGGTGGTAATTAAATTAAATACCACAACAGTGCAATAAACGGTGAATAAAGCAGGATCCGAGCAGTCTGCATAATGAGTTGGTTTCCCGGTCACGTGATCAGGAACCTGGACTCGTATCACGGGTACTAATGCAGCACATCACTGCAGCTTTACTGCCGTCTATTTCCAGGCTTTATTGCCTCTGCCAGTGCCAGTGTCCGGATGATAAGATATTGGGTATTATCTAAAGCCTTTCAGTCTATTCGAGCTTTTCATCTAGAATTAAAACAAGTCCTTCATATTATGGAGCCAGGGTACACTGGCTATGTTTACAGACAGTAGACACTAGTAATTTATATTTAAGTTTAATCATATCAAACTTTGGGTTAAAATCAGATTTACCTTATCTTATTCATTTATTCATTCATGCATCATGAATTCTGGCATCCGTAGTAACTTTAAACTTGGCATTCGTGTAACTATAAAATTGATATATTTATTCCGTTTGGGAGTAATTAATTTGAGTTCCCTATAATATTATGATAAGTCCTTAGTCCATACTTAAATTTCAATTATATTATTATATTTATTCAACATTTTTGTTACCAATGACAAATGACAATTAAAATGGAGCCAATATTTTTTTTCAGTCGGAAATAATGGAAGTCGCTTCAGGAAACACTTTTATTGCAGGCTTGCATTTATGATTTGATTATACCATAAAATTATGATGATTTTTTGGGTGCTGTACAGTCACAGTTGGTCAAGCCTGGAGGGTTGCAATTATTTTAGTAAACCTGTTGGAGTTTGTTGCTTAGATTATCTTGCCTTTTCTGTATCCCCTGGTTTCTTACAGCTTGTGTGGAATGCACGTATTAGGATAAAGTAATGCAAGCTTAACGTTGTTTTACGCTTGGTATGTATCCCAGATAACCCAAACTAGATAACTCACCAGATATCCATATTAACCTATTTCACGAAGTGTAGGTACCTTGCAGAGTTGCAGAGTGTAGCAGCCAACCGTTCACTGCGTACAAAAATTATTAGAAAACCTGAGACCACAACAAATCACTTAATCGTATATCCTACCATGAAATCGGCCTAAAGCTGAGATTTAAGGCGCGACCTCTCTGCAAAGTTCTTACGTTAGCAGTGTGTTAATGAAAGCGGTACTTACGCGGTTATGCTTACGCAGAATGTGAACACACTACTGTGACCATGTGCCATTAAGTGTGCGGTCATTTTCTCAGGAATGAGTCATAGTACCCATTATCCAGATTACCAGATAACGTTAACCCAACAAAATTAACCAAATTTCTGCAGTAACTCCACATACCGATATAATAAGGAATCAGAAGATCATGTTTTCCATTTATTAGTTTGCGTCACGTTTCAAAATGGGTCTGTAAATGGTCTGTAATCTGTATTAAAAGATAGCCTTGCAATAAGGATTGGAAATGGTAGGCATCGTTCGCATATTTAAAGGTTTTGCTGAATTTTGTCGGAATTGTCCGTACATCCTTGAGCTCCTGAGGTATTTAAATATCTATTTAAGTATCTAATGTCACTCAACCGTAACGTAGCCATTATTTACTGCTTAAGCTGTTTTTGTGCGCTAGGACACACATTGTGTTATTGTAAATTTGACTTAGGTTTGTTGTTCAGTTAAAATGAATTCCGTTTTTTTCTACACTAAATTATAATTAAGTTTACAGATAAAATGTAACTGATTTAATCTTATAAACCGTTGACGTAACAACATACATTAAAACTTTTTCTCATCGTAGGATTACGTGTATGTTCTAGATGGAAGACATAGACAACATATCAAAAGAAAAAGTCGAGGAACTGCGGAACATCTTCAAAACCTTCGACGACGACGACAGCGGGAACATCACAGCGCAGGAGTTCCAATATGCTCTGACCAAGATGAACGTGTACCTGCCCAAGGAAACAGTCCGGGAGATGATCTGGGAGTACGATACGGACGGGGACTGTAATCTTGATTTTGACGAGTTCCTCAAGCTCATCTCCAGGCTAGATCCCAGGATCGGGCAGGAGATAGAGATCAACAAAGCCTTCAAGCTATTTGACAAGAACCACGACGGTTTCCTCAGCAAGGTTGAGATAGTTGACGCGTTAGTTCATTTTGGGATCAACGCTTCTGATGAAGACGTGGAGATGATATTTTCAATAACTGATGATAATGCAGACGGGAAGATCAGTCATGCTGAGTTCCGGAACATTCTGTTCGATGCAGCGGCTCCGGAGATGCCGTTGAGTGCGATGGCAGCGCCAGGCTCTCCGGGTTCTCCTAAGTCGGGACGAGCCAGGTCCCCTAAGAGGCGATAATGCTGATGAGATAACTGTTCAAAAGCAGCAGGTTTAAATTTAAGAGGATCTTGGTTGATGCGAACCAATAGAGAATGAATAAGTTGGTTTGAGAAACAGCGATGAAGTTGCAAAATGTAAGATAAAGAACTACAGAGACTGCAGAGAGATGGTTTACACTATCTATATTGCGCAACACAGAGTAAAGCAAACTGAATTATAAAAGTGTTTAGCCACATCCAAGTTTAAATTATTTTCGTAGTTTTCACTAAGAGACAACTCTGTATCCATGATTATATTTATTATTATAATTATTAAGACAATGGCATTACTCACGTTATTGTTGTTGTTATGAAATACGAACCATTATGAAACATTTTAATTTAAATGTCCCAACTTTAAACTTTATCGTCGTGGTAATTATTATAATTAAGTATGAAATTGCATGAAAAATAACAATTGAGATCACAAAATGTCACCTGTTGGAGGAACTCAGGATCTGCCATCACATCAGCCAGAACGTCAGGATCACCCAAATCATCATCAGCATCAGCCGCAGTGGCAGTTGAGGAGCTAGTTTCTTCCGCTTTCGGCATGTCATCCTCTACACCCTGAAACCGATCAAGCTTGAGTCGCGGACTCTTTTAGACTCAAAAATTGGTAGAAGTATACAATATGAGAAATAGAGAGTCTCGTTGTTTAATTTAAATTTCAATCTTTTAGCCATGTTATCAAAATATCACGAATTCCGATTTGGGTCACGTGATTATTTTGGGGAAGTTAGTGGAACCCACCGCTAAGCTCATCTGCATGGCAAGTGCAATCTGCTCCTCCTCCGAGAGTTGAGACAAATCGACGTTATCGCTGAGACTAGCAGAGACAGGGGCGTCTCCAGCACCTCCCTTGTTCTCCTCTTCTTGTCTCTGTCTCTGTTCCTCCAGTGATACTCTGTGGGAGAAAGAAATAATCTCAACTGTGTTTTGTGACACATCGTTAATATAAGGGATCCTTCACATGTTACGTAATGTTTGCCAGCTTGCAACCGTCCCCGTCCGTAAACCCTTTTACGCATAGAAATTGTCCATGTAGCAACATAATTTACAATCCTTGGCCTTAATCCTTATCATGTAACATTTGAACGATCCCTAGTAACTATCTGTTAGAATTTCTGGCATTTTAAAGTTTTAGGGGGGTGAAATGGTGAGGAGGGAAACAAATCAAATTGGTATTCAATTTCTATTATACAACATCAGGACAGAAGTTGAGACGCTTTTACAATAAATCGAATCTTTTGTAAGTCGATACATAAATCTCTAATCAAGTTATAATTTGCCAATGACAAAATTTGCACAATGACAAAATTAGTAGGAGAATACCAAACAATGCGAACCTGAGGGCAAGGGCTAGGTCGGGGTCCTGGTTGGCGTCTATAAAGTCGAACCCACTGCCGCCCATACCACCCATATCCTCCCCAGATAGGATGGGGGACTTCTTAAGAGCGTCCGACAGGGTGGGACCAATACTAACCGTCACTATATGCGATCCTGGGTAATTCGGTATTAACTAAGAACTAAGTTTTTTTGCAAATATTAGAACCCCGTTATATTTTATAAGAATATACGAAAATATCTTGAAAAATTACCTATCAACTTGAACTACTGCTTATTTCTGTTCTGATTCAAATAAAAGGAACCTGGCAGAAACTTTATATAACCACCCTGGCGTTGGGATTCGGAGTTTGGTTAGTACTTGTGCGCAGAAAATAGAAATCGGACCCTCTTCGTGCCTTGTCTGAACGATTGTCAAAAACCATCGTCATATACTTTTACTAGGACCGTTGACCGACCCCAACCGCCAAACGGTGCCCGCGGGGCAGCCACGCCCATATTTGATCCAAATTAGGCCCAATTTAGCCAAATACCCTGAACATGCCCAAAACAAAAAAATGATTGAGTTATGAGCCAAAAACCATATAACCATATTTGGGCATACGCACCAAATTTGATCGATTTTGGCCCATAAATTGGTCAAATATCAATATTTTTTTGAATAAAACCAACTTTATATGGAAGGTAAGCCTATACTACATATTATCTATGAATATCAGCTCAGTATCTATCTAACTGTGGATTCTGTGTTCAAATAATCACAAAAAATGAACAAAATCGTCCATATCTCAGTTCGCGATATTTGCAAAACTTATTTTGGCTCAAAACAATAGAACTCAAATCTCAATAGGGTTTTAATATTTTTACATGAAATTTTCAGAATCAACGTAGAATCGCATTTCGACCTTAAGTTTTAATATAGAATTTTGAGTTAGGCCTTCAAACAAATTTGGCGGCCAAATTCTGAAATTTGCCGGGCGTATGGTTATATGGTTTTTGGCCTGTTTTGGGCCTGTTCAGGGTATTTGGCTAAATTGGACCTAATTTGGACCAAATATGGGCGTGGCTGCCCCGCGGGCACCGTTTGGCGGTTGGGGTCCGGGACCCCAACCCCAAAAAAATCAGGGTGAACCCCCCCCCCTTAAGTTGATAACTGACAGCACAAGCTGTCAATTTATACCAAGATTTTGTAAAATTATTGTGTAGCTTGAAAACCCTGAATTCATCCTAGAACTCTGACAGATGGCGAATAGTACGCGATTTCTGCTCTAGCTGAGAGGAATTTGGATCCGATCTAATCGTTATGTAGGATATCAATATTCAATATGCTCTGTATGTGAGTATGTAGGATATCAATGTGGATATAAACTTAGTGGCTGTGACATAATATGCGATAAAGTGCAGGAGAACCCTAATTAGGTGAGTGCAACCGTGTTGTTCTAATCTTAATAAGAGAACATGGCATATTGAATATTGATATCCTACATGATACCGATCATATCGGATCCAAATTCCTCTGATCTCAGCCAGAGCAAAAAGCGCGTAATATCTGAAGAGGCGTCGCTTTTCGGTTCGAAGATGTACTGCGTTCTTTCACTTTTCAGTTTCTCCGGCTGCCACTGAGTCTATTATAAACAGATTAATACTATTACAGTGTTTTTTTAAAAAAAGTTTCAATTTGGGTCTCTGGGATGTTAAATTTTAAAAGCGATGTTTAATTTTGTCACAGCTTTCATCGTGCCCCGCGGGCTTAAGGGTTCAGATTCAAAAAATATTCGTATAATTGCTTTCGGCTATGGTTTTGGCAAACAATATTCAATATTCTGTTTCAATTTTAAATTACAGCACTTACAGAATTAGGATCGTTTGCAAATTGCAATACTACTGTATTAATTCATGTTTGATACAATGTTCGTAAATAAATCGATGTTAAAATTAAACAATATTCAATATTCTGTTTCAATTTTAAATTACAGCACTTACAGAATTAGGATCGTTTGCAAATTGCAATACTACTGTATTAATTCATGTTTGATACAATGTTCGTAAATAAATCGATGTTAAAATTAATTTGTAAATGAATGAATCAATGCTAAATTTGGTGTAAACACGATCGAACCAATGTTGAGTTATTATTTATACGAACCGAAGTAAAGTTCGGTGTCAAATTTAAAAAAAGGCGGGAGAAAAAGGTGGGAGAAAATTTCCGGGTGATGATTCCCGGAAAAAAAATTGATGTTTAAGTTTTTTTTGTCGGTATTGATGTTTGGAAGTTATTTGCATTTATGATTGGGTTATAGGAATCCTGTAACGATATGGATTAGCATGATTACTGTCATTAAAAGTATATGTCGATAGTTTTCTGACAATCACTCAGAGAAGACAGGTACACGATGGTCTGATTCCTTTTACAACCTGTACACAAGTGGGGGGGTACCAATGGCATAAAATGGCATAAATGGCATACGTTTTATGGCATAAATGGAAATTTTTATTGGCCAATTCTCCATTTATGCCATGAATTTAGGTCTTCATATTTGACTTTAAATTCGCAAATTATTATTAGTACTTGAATAAGAGACATGTTTCATGCTTTATAACGCTTGGAATGATCGTTAAAGATTCATATGACAAATAAAGAAACTAAAAATGTATTATATCAAAAATGGCATAAATGGCATACGTTTTATGGCATAAATGGAAATTTTTATTGGCCAATTCTCCATTATGCCATTTATGCCATTGGTACCCCCCCACACAAGTACTACCAAGCCTACAAATCCCAGAGACAGGGTGATAACATATAATTTCGTCTCCACAATCAATATTTCACGAATATTAAAGTATTAAGAACAATTTTCATTGACAATCCAACCTAAACAAGAATAAACTGATAAACTCACCTGTTCCCTCTTTCCCGTTCAGGGTGCTGACGAAGTTTGTCAGCTTCTCGGTATTGTCCTCAGTCTCACCAAAGTTCACTATATCTACATTTACTTTCTCTTTCTTCAACTTCTTTGCTAGTCTCTGTAAATCCTTCTCGTCAGAGTCGATTGGAGACCCCACAAATATTATAATCCTTGTCTTATGGTTCTTGCTCTGCCTGGAGAAATAAATACGTCATTATGTATGGTAAAATTACATGCGTTAATCACCCATAAACTAAAGTACAATGGAACTACTTTTATGTAGCACTCTAATTTTTTGTATTTAAAATCTATTGTACTTAGAAGCCTTAATGATGTGCAATACAGCATGCATTTAGAAGCCTTAATGATGTGCAATTTTATTAATTTTATTAGATAAGCAGAACAAGTTTAGGACTAAATATTCTGAATGTTCTCATTGTGTATTTCCCGGATATATATTTATATATATCTTTTTTGTCTTATCAGTTAATTGCTTTTGCGTCGGTTTAAACAGCTCTCACTGTGTAGCAGATAATATACTCGTGTATATTAAACTGGCCCTGCGTGTACATTGTACATCATGGTTAACAAATACTTGGAGAATCTTGACAATGAAATAGCGTTGAATTACTCTACACTCAAATTCAGATCAATGTATGCTGAACAGATTTTGGGTGCTCAGATTATGCTACTCAACGATATGCGTCAAGCGGCAGGTGTTCAGAAATCCAATGTGTTACGTAAAGAAACGCTCAACAAGCCTCAGATCACCAAGGCTACGCTGTGTGATTGGATGGAAACTTTTATCGACATTCTCGACATTCTCGACAGTTATTGTTCACCGCTGTTGTTTTCAGCCACCAAACTACAAGATGAAATCGACCAACTGAAGGACGAAAAGATTGCAGATCAGAACACTGTGATTAAACTGCAAGGACAATTGCTTGAGAAGAAAAGTGAAGATTTGACCTCTGTTCAGACGACAGTGAAAAGCGAACTCAAAGCCTGGTCGTCAGTTGTGAAGAATTCATGCAGCAAGGCGCTAGCGCCTAAGAAAATGAAAGCTGCTCTGAAACGTGCCTCCGAGGAAGAGGATCGTAGTCAAAATCTGGTCATCTACGGTCTACCAGAAAAGAGTGAAGAAATCCTGGAAAAGAGAGTGCTTGAGGTACTAGAAAACATAGATGAGAAACCTCGAATCGTTTCTTGCTGTAGGATGGGGAGAACTGTATCAGATGGAGGACCAGCCGTTAAACCTATCAAGTTCACTCTCAGCGGCTCAGATCATGTGCGGCAAGTGTTGAGCAAAGCGAGAAAACTAAGAGAAGTGGAGGGGTATGACTCAGTGTACATCAGCCCCGACCGATCAGCCGAGCAGAGAGCTGCCTTCAGGAAGTTAGTTCTTGAAGTTAAGCAGAAACGGGAATTGGAGCCTCAGCGAGTTCATGTTATAAGGAACAATAAGATCGTAAGCTCCGAGAAGGACTGATGGGATATGATTTTTTATCAACATATTATTTGATTGATTTTCATTTACCAGGGACTAGGCTTGTGCGGTGTGGTTTCGACTACAATTTTACTGCGTTCTGGTTTCCCTTTGAAATTTACATACATCTGTCCTTTAGAGATCGCAATCAGTTATATTTTGTTTTTATTTTGCGCCACATGTTATATTGTATGTAAATTTTGAAAAGATTTTCATAAAAAAAAAAGTACTAACGTTCACCAGGTTTCAGTGCAATAGACATTGTCTATTATATAATGAAATGGACATTGTCTATGACTATGATACTCTTCATAAAGTGAACAATGCAAAGGTCTGAACCACAGATGAAAGGTGATGCGTAATTTGGAGGATAGAGAATAATACTTATTGAAAATAACAGACAGGCGAGCATATTCTTACGTTATACGAGAAGACGTTATGTTTTTTTTTGATAATTTCTAGATTTTACGATTTATTATACAGTATATAACTTTAGTGATTATTATAATACTAATATTTCATGATTTATTCCCGGACGGCTCCAGCTAAACTCAAACTAATTCCACAAAGCAATGTCAACAATTCATAGCACCTCCCCCACAAATTCATTCACACAATCCTTTTAAGTAACAACCCTCACCTTTCACAGTCCTAACACTACCTTAGCACCAACCAATCACATTTGAGAAACACTAATCACATGACACTACTTTCACCTCCATAGCCGTCCGTGGCTTCGATTGTAAATATGTCTGATTTATCCGATTTGTAAGATACGCATGAATTTGAGTTCAGTGCCAACATACTAATAAAACCTTTGCTGACTTTAGTCAAACTAATTGATCGGGTTTCATTTTGAACCAACCAACTCAGTAGTACCTGACTAGTCCTCTAGATCCCGGTAAATAACAACCTCTACAGTCTCCATTATACTGATGTACTGATGATGGAAATGTATTTAGATTGTAGGTGTTTTAAACAAAAATACTCTCTATCGTAAAATTTCAGAAGTTAAAAATGTCAGTCATCATTAATTTTACACAAATTGAAGACCCTGAAAATGTAGTTAATACGTTCAGAAATTGTCAGAATTTTAAGTTTTGTTTTTTTCCTTGATCAAAGTGATCTATATAAGATATGGTCTCATTTTTTTAAAATTGAAGCGAAAGAGAAATAGTTTAACTTATTTCCCTCACATAGCAGTATGTTGAATTATAACAGATTGTGAGGAAAAGAAGATCTTATCATCAAGTGTCTCGTAAATCTGGTGGTCAAACAGATTTAATATTGCATCCAACTCTGCGGGCACCCCATTTTGGGAATGTTATCCAATTTAACCGCTCTAGACGGACAACTATTGGACGTTCTCAGATCAGCTTCCCACTCTGACATGTCGATCTCAGCGATGATTTCTCCATCTTTAGTCCACGACTTCCTGGAACACTTCATGGCGTAAGCTTCTGCTGCGTTGCACCCGGGAGGAAGAACTCGGTCCACTTTGGGGATTATCATCCAGTCATACAGATCATTTTGTATGTTGATTCCCTTGCACTGGTCGTAGATACAGGCATCAACGTAAGGTCGTTTATCATGGACACAATTTTCAAAGGAATGGATAGCGAAGATTTTGTTGCACCTAATTACTGCTTTACCGTATTTCTTGTCTCCACAGAGGCCCCTAACCTCGTCCATAGAAGGAGCTGGGCTTCCAGCACCACATCGCCAATTTCTGTCCACTTTCATGCTCTCTGCAAATAAGATCAAGTTGTCATTGAATTGTCCCCAAAGATCAAAGTCATCGATTGGATCCTGGTTGTTGTTACCGCAAAGGCCTTGAGTCTTGGTGCTTTGAGGTACTTCTATGGTAAGAGTCATGAAACCATCCCATCGAATCTTGAGCCAGTCCTGCTCGTTTTGGTCCTCGCTCAGCAGCACCCTTGCCTCCAGTGTTGTTCCTGTAAACTCCACCTCAAATACTCCTACTTCTATTGGCCCGGACGTTCTCATGGTCTCTACTTTTTGTCCTCTGTGGTTCACTAACCATCCTCGTTGTAGCTGAATGGCATCACGTTTAGCGTAAACGGTGACAGACTCGAGACAGTTACCTTCAACAAGATTTCCACAAGGACGCATCCTACCGTAGACAAAGAAAGATGCCGCACCCTGATCTAGCGACAGGACATAGTCACAGCTGGTGGAAGGCATATTGTAGACCATATCGTCGTAGGTTATGACGTGAGGATCACCAAATACCTGGCAAGAAGATCGGGGTGATTCACGGAAAGTGATGGCACCAGGTTGTTGATAGTAAGGTGTCGAGGTGGTAGCAGACTCAGCCTCATCTGCTTGCCATCCAGGTTCGTTTTTTACTCTCAAGTAAAATTTGGCATAGTTCTTATCACACGCTTCATTCTCTGGATCTCCTTTGTAAATACACGCTCGGCATCTGTACCATCCTTCGTCTTCTTTCGTCACGGCATCCTTAGACAAGTATATCTCTGCAACTTCAGTGATGTCAATACGTCCTTTAGGGTGACTCGGTCGAGATTTGGTGCTCTTAGTGACGTCTTCAAACCAGTCGTGCTCCACAGCTGTCAAGTCCCTCTTAGGATCATCCTCGTAGAACATCTCGATAAAAAGTTCGTGTTTTGGCCAGTTGGGCATATGATCAGCATGATCAGATGCTTTGCACTCAAACTCTGCCATATCTCCCACGTTCAATTGTAGGGATTGTGGGTAGGACTCGATCACAGGGTACGGGAGTGGGTCGAATATTCCAATTTCTCCAGGACCCTCTGGAGTGGTACTCGAGGTGAAGTCCGCTGGTCCAGTTGTGGGCAGGTCGGGCAGGTCAATACTGTCAAAGTCATTAGACGTCTCCTCTCTCTCGACCTCGTTAAACCCTCTCACCACAGCTAAGATCAGCAGCAGAGTTGAAACAATCGGCAACAGTCGCATTCTTGTGTAGAGTTACCAAACGCTAAAATTGCAAAAACGGATTAGATATTATAGCGGTTAAAACTCTGCAATCGTGGCAGTTTTTAGGGAAAAACTATAATGTAATTACAGAGTGTCTGAAAATTTGAAAGAGTGCGGCATTTGTCGGATTTAGAGCATCAGCCCCAAAAATAAACGACACAATAAGAATAAGACTTGCCCATGGATCGAATTACGAGTTGCTAGGGTTCTTAATTATGTGCTATCCTTACTCGATTTTACGCCAGCTTTGAACTAATAGAGTTAGACGTTCATAGACTGTACCATTGTTCTACCAATTAATGTTGTGATTCGTGAGCCAGTAACTTCATTGAAAACTTCATTAAATCGTGCAAAATTCAGGTTTGTGTGTGGTGTCAAAATGCTTCGTTCCGAAGAATAGAAAAGTTAAAGTTAGCCTCATCAAATATTTCAATTATAATTTGTGTCACGAACACGGATTCCAACGATCTCTACTTCGGAGGAGAGGTCTATTTCGAATAAAAAACACAATATAAACGGAACATTCCAAACTAAAAATCACTAAACTATGTGTGGTCACTGGTTGGGGTGGATAAGAGCTTTCTTATTCGATTATTTTATGCATGATTTTCAGATCAGCAGATCACAGATGTTAGATTAACACAGCTGAATTCCATATAAAAACCAGTTAATTCAATAATCGATATGCAACTACGGACTCTTTCACGACGTCATGATTCATCATGCTGTTCAGATTTGTTGCCTACTTAAGTGTTGTCTACTAAAGTGTAGTCTCATGCTGGCAAATACAAATTCTGCTGTAAATTCATTCGTCATTTGGAACGGGATTATATATTTGATGACAAGTACTCATAAACATAAAGGTTACTCGTATGTGATATTTACAGTTGAGCCAAAATAAAGTAATTCTAGAAATAACACAAATCATAATAATCTAGACAAAAACTAAATTCATGATCTATACGCGAAGGTAAACAGGATATTATTAATACGACAGGATATCATTATTTTAAGCGCTGACAGAACTTATGGAGGCTTGCCCAGAATTAATTCCGGCTTCTAGCTCGCCACTCACCAGTCAACCTAATTTTTTGCGCAGTGCATTGGTTTAATCATTTGTTTGAAGATGAGATCAGGGGTGATAAGTGATTGAGATGGAAAATAATAATCTGATATTTATGAAGTCATGCAGGTGTTTTAACACCTAATAATAAATATTAAATAATTGTTTATCGATTTTATCTAGAGCGAATAAAAAAATAACTTGAGCCGGTAATTGTTGTAACTGAAAGCTGCCTCAACCGCCGCGGCATAAGGCATTATAACATCAACTGAACTAGACAATTTGAGTCCATTAAACCGTCTTTCCGTTCATAACCTAGTCAAATCATCGAAGTTGATCGAGTTTGTGTAGACTATAATTTGGAAATCAAGTTTGGTCACTTTGGAGCAAGTTTCTTTGAGCAGTGATGCAGGGGGAACCCGGAACGTATTTTACAGATCTAGAGGAAACGAAAATAGCAAACTGGCACCTTCATGCGATTATTAGTCGCTCTCAAATTAAATCATTTCGATAAATTTAGAGCCCCATTTTGACTACAAAATTGTCTCCATCCGCCTAGATTACCTGCTAAGATCATAACAACTTGAGAGAAACTATCTACCAGCCTTGGTTTGACAAAGTTCTCACAATTCCAGATTGCTAATTAATATTAGCGCCCTATATTTAGCTTTATTTACTTTTGAAACACCTCGTGTTTCAAAAGTAAATAATTAATCTTCTAACGGCATACTTATTTGAAACCAGCAAAATAGACCTAGGGAGACAATTGGTCGAGGTAATTTCTAGTGTTATAATATAAGCTGCACAACAACAAGCAACAAACAGGGTACATTGGAGAGATCTCATAAATCGGAATAAGGAGTCACTGTGTGGTGCAGGCCACGCCAATGACTAGGAGGAGACCTTTTCAAGTACAAGTAAGTACTCTAGTGTTATGACTTATAAACTTGACTCTAACCCCCATCCACCGCAGGCATAATTTTAAACTTTAACTGAAGCAGACAGAGTTAGTGACCAAGACAACAGTTTAATTATCAGATTTGAGTAGGTCTTTGAAAACTAAAATTTTGAAATTCAATTTTGGTCGGTACTTTGGAGCAAGTTTAATCATGTAATTGTGCGGGCAGACAGCATACGACAAATTTCTTCAGGGTAGGACTGAAGAAGCGACGTTCTTGCAAATTTTGCAAGCATCGTTCCGTTAATATGGTGTGCAGTTTCAGAAGGAACAGTGCTCAGTGCTAGCTGAAGAAGGCGATAAAACGGCAGGTATAGTAAGTTAATTAAGTTAATTAAACCTATCTGCCTGCATTCATTGGACAAAGTTCTCACAATTCCACATTGCTACATTATATTAGCACCCTATTCTTAGCTTTATCTACTTTTGAAACAGCTCGTATGACAACCGGTAAGATTAAATTATAAAAACTGGAAACGGTTTTAAAATGGCATGTATTAGAGTATTAGAGCCTGTACTGAAAAATGAACGTGGCAAGAAGGAGCAGAGTTCGCAACTCACGTGAAACAAGTTTAGTTTTATTATCACGATATTATCAGTTCATTTGTCCAGCTCAGAATGCAATATTGTGTTTCCCTCTGTTAGCATGTTGTTTGTACCAATAATCTTTAGGTGATAGAATAAGGTATTACCTAACTCAACGAAACTATTTCTTTAGCCGATCTAGAATTATCTGTTACGTTTCAAGGTTGTTTTATTAACAATAACATATCGAATTTCATTAAAGTTTACTAACACATGTGAATTGCAAGTAATATTTCGAGAGTCTTCCGCTATTATCTAATGTAGTTAAATGGCTTTTAACTGTGATTTAACGTGAATGGTAAGCGTTTTAACTTAGTTTCGTGGCATTATGCCTATTGTGTCACATTATTATATAATATTATGACCGATATTCTTAATCAACTCTCCGGTCTCCACTTATTAAAAATATTCCTAAAAGATGAAATCAAGCATTTTGGTGCTAATATATTGCTTGGTTGGTGGATTAGTGACTTGCAACAATTCCGATGAGAAGTAAGTTGTAAATCTTTTTATCGAAGAGGTGTGTGCCTCGGACAAGATAGCATACTATTAACATATTTGATATAGGTCAGCGAGTCGGTTTTCTAAATTACACGAAGATACAATGTATTTAAAATATAACTTTAATCTTTACATCTACAACAATACCCCCATCCCAGGCCCGGCAGTCCTGACACAATAAAAGTACACGTGGTACCACACACACACAATGACGTAGGCAAGCTGAAGACAGTAGACCAGTACTACTTCGGAACGAGAAGCGGCCTCTACCAAGGAGGGGTCCAGTTCATCATAGACACAGTAGTGGACGAACTGACAGCTGACCCGTCCAAAACCTTCATTTACATGGAGATAGCCTACTTTAAGCGGTGGTGGGAGCACAGGGACAAGGTGTGGCACAACAAGGTCAGGAAGCTGATCAAGAACAAGCAGTTAGAGTTTGTGGGAGGTGGGTACAGCATGAACGACGAGGCCAGTGTGCACTACATGGCTACTGTTGATCAGTTCAGTGCAGGAATGGTCTGGTTAACGGAGAACTTTGGGGGCGCAGCTGAGCCCACTGTAGCCTGGCAGATTGACACGTACGGACACAGCGCAGCACAAGCAGCACTCAGTGCACAGTCAGGATTGAAGGGGCTCTTCTTCTCCAGGATGCATTATCAAGAATACGAGAAGAGGAAGCAGGATAAGGAGTTGGAGTTTAACTGGCACAGCACTGCGGGTGAGGACACCATCTTCAGCAGTGTGCTCTACCAAGGATATAACGCTCCAACTGGCTTCTGCTTTGACAGCACCTGCACTGATCCGCCTATCGTAGCTGATCCTGAATCTCCGGAATATAACCTCCCTGAGAGACTCACTAAATTCCTGGAATTCTTGAAGGAGCAGGCAGCCCATTATCGCAGTGGGAACATCATGCTGACCATGGGAGGTGACTTCTCTTACCAGAACGCTCACCAGTACTTCGCCAACCTGGACACACTGATGAAATACGTGAACCTAAACTCAACAGAGTATGGGTTTGAAATGGTGTACTCGACACCATCTCGGTACATGAACGCAGTGAAGGGTGCTATTGGAGACTCCCTGGCACAGAGGAAAGAGGACTTCTTCCCCTACGCAGATGAATCGCACTCCTACTGGAGCGGGTATTACACATCTAGACCATCTCTTAAAGGTTACGTGAGGGACTGTAACAATGTCCTCCAAGTGTGCAGACAGGTGGAGGTCCTAGTGGGTAGTCCGTACTGCGATGCTGATAAACTCTGGTTAGCTATGAGTGTAGCTCAGCATCATGACGCTATAACCGGGACAAGTAAGAAGCACGTGGCAGATGATTACTTTAGGAGGTTAGCTGAGGGTCAGACCTTCTGTGAGGGAGTGATAAACAGAGGGCTGGAGAAACTGTCAGGAGTTGGTTCTGGTAGTTTGGAGTCGTGTAGGCTGGCTAATGAGAGTTATTGTGAGGTGACTAGTCGAGCTGGGAACAAGAGTTTGACTGTGGTGGTGTACAACGCTAGATCAGTTAATAGGACTGAGTATATCAGGATCCCACTGCTCAGTGAGAAATACGAGCTCATTGACCTGACAACCAATCAGCATGTCCAGTTAACTTTTGTAGAACTGAATCCTGCTTTGAACAGAGTCAACTCTGAGGCGCTACCAGTGGAGGGAGTGTTCAAGGCGACCCTCCCAGCTTTGGGTTACTCCACGTATCGGCTCCAACACGCTCTTAAGCCACGACACTCTCAGCTCCTCAGCAGCCAACCTAGAGATGTGTCTGCTGATATCACGGTTCAGACACAGCTCTATACTGTGGTGTTTGATGGACAAACTGGGTCCTTGAAAAGCGTCACTAACAAAGTTTCCGGTTCGACAGATAAGTTGTCCGCGAAATTCTTGGAATACCGCTCAAACACTGGAGACAGTCTCAGCAAACAAGCCTCAGGAGCCCACATATTCCGACCAGTAGACAACAAAGCAGAGGAGATAGGAACACCAGTCCTGACTAACTACATATCAAACAACCAGTTTACTGAGATATGGCAAATCTACGGTGACTGGATCAACCTGGTTACCAGAGTCTCAATAGACAAGCCTTACATTGAGGTTGAGTGGGTGGTGGGCCCACTACCCTCGGACCATGGCCGGGAAGTTATCTTGAGGTACCAGACCAGCCTTTCTACAAACCAGAAGTTCTATACGGATAGCAATGGTCGGGAGATGCTCCAGAGGAGACTGAACAAGCTGCAGGAGGATGAGGTAACGGAGCCGGTGTCTGGAAACTACTACCCCGTCACCACCAGAGCAGTGCTGTTAGACGAGCAAACAGGAATGCAGCTGACTGTTCTGACAGATAGAGCCCAGGGAGGAGCGTCTCTAGCAGAGGGACAGGTGGAGCTGATGGTGCACCGCAGGACCCTGGAGGACGATAACCGTGGGGTAGACGAGGCACTGGACGATGAGCTGGTTGTCAAGGGGAGGCACTGGCTGTACTATTCCCGGTTTGATTCCATGAAGGAGAATAGGGTTCTGGGTCAGGAAATGTTCTACAAACCGACAGTAGCAATTGGAATTGACGAAAATCCAGAGCAGCCCAGTCAGAGTTACAGCGACAGCGCGGTGGAGAACGAGTACATCAACGTGGCCACTATCATCAACGTGGACTACTCAGGAGATGTGTTCACGTATCTAATGCGGCTGGAGAACATCATACCCAAAATGGAGGGAGGAGAGCCCATTACAGTGGATCTAGGAAGGGTCTTCAAAGGGAAAACCTTGGTGGAGTTTGAGGAGAAAGGGCTCGCTGGAGACAGACCTATAGAGAACGTGGTGGATGATATGAGTAAATACACTATGTACGATGAGGGAAACATGATTACACTGCAGCCCCTACAGATCAGGACCTTCTTTGCTACATACAAGCCGAGCTCTGGGGAGACTGGTGTTGCAGACAGGATTAAGAAAGTTATTTGTACTTACTTTCTAGAGTGTTAAAGTGTAACGGATCAAGGAAATGCCAGAGTGATTATGATTGTAATTTATTTTTAAATGTTTTTTAAGTGGGTCAAAGTTTAATAATTGAAAGATGGACTCATATCGGCAAACTTTTTTTAATGTCTGATAAACTTTGTAATGTTTTCTATGAATTAACTATTTTAATAATTATTTGCGAAAGACAATATTCATTATTCAGAAATTCATCAGCTTAAATCAAAAATACTACCTAAAGTTAGCAAGAAACTGTGGAGTATAATATATATATATATAAGAATTACCTGTGTTTAAGGGCGAGTTGAGCGATTTTAATACCAGTCAGGAAGTTCACCTCGCCCTGTGGTTCTATCTGATGTAAACACGACATAACCTGTAACAGTGTGTTATGTACCAGTTATTACAGCTACAGGAGTATAATGAAAGGAGTACTGAAAGAGTAGAGGAGAATGTGATCACAGCAGCTAAGTATAATAACTTAATAAGTAATTGCAAGTCAAACTTTCAATTGAGTATAAACGAGCTCAGCACGCGATGTAAGGTAGCACTTCACACGAAGTTGAGAGGGGACTAACCTTGCCAACTTCGTTAGTAAGGGTGGAGAGAACTTTGAGAGATCCCAGAGTTAGAAGAGCTACTGTGTTTTCTGGGTTGGCTCGAGTCTTTGAAGTGCACAGCATGTTCACGGCATCCTGTAACAATTTCGGTTTTTAAACGAACGTTTAAACCTTTCTGCTGGAATTAAAGTCGTCTTATCGCACTGAGTATAACTTATAAGGACAAGTTTAAAAAGATAAAATTCCGAAGTAAGCGTTAACACGAACACGTGGTTAACACGAACACGTGGTTAACACGAACACGTGGTTAACACGAACACGTGGTTAACACGAACACGTGGTTAACACGAACACGTGGTTAACACGAACACGTGGTTAACACGAACCTGTTGTGCAAGTAGCCTGGTTGGGACAAAGTCTCCGTTCCTCATGTATTCACTGTTATCTACACATATCACAGTGCTCTCCAGGACCATCTTGTTGCTAGTTACTTTAAAATGTAGGGGTTAGTTTCTGTTGTATACTAAATATAGTGCATTGATAAATTGTATTTACTTGTAATTTCAACTATTGTGCTTTGTCAAATAGATTAGCTTTGTCCATCAATTCGTCCAATAAAGTTTAAATGCAACTTATACATAGAGAAGAATAAGTCAAACTCATTAAGGTGAACGTGATAGATAAATAAGAAATCAATTACATAGCAAAAGTATGACGAAGTTTTGTATGTCGAAAAATAGAGCCAGCTAATAACTTAATAAATAGGTATATTGTGCCATCATAATCTCCTTCAAATCAATCGATTAAAATTTTAAAAACCTCAATTCAAATCCTTCATTCGTTGTTCATTTCGTGTAAAAAGTCAATCAGAGGTAAAAGTCTAAAAATTTTGAAAGTAATAAGTTATTCTTGATCAATGAAAAAATCTCGATACACATCAAGCCAAACGTAAATACAGCTAAAAAAATACAACACAAAAGATTAATAATTTATCAAGTGACATCCTCACTTATTCAAAGCTACGTTCTTAGCCTTTGACTTCTTCGTCTTACTTGTGGACTTAGCCGTAGGTTTTGATTTAGTAATTTGAACACCAGTTGGAGCTTTTCTGCTAGTCTTTGCTTTAGACCCAGCTCCTGTACGCTTCTTCCTAGACTTGTCGGGCAATGAAAGAAGTTTAACAGTTTTCCTCTTACCCAGCATAGTAGGAGCACCAGACTCATTCAACATCTCAATCCTGCTAGAGCTCCGAGCGAAGTCCTCTAACTCCACATCTTCGTCAGGTCGGGGGTTAAACTCTCCCTCAAACTCCCAACTGAGCTGTTCCTTCTCTGCCCCGTTCTTCTTAGCTAGATACCTCTCTCTAGAGTACATGTATTTTCTCTCCCTGAACCGGCCATCGTCCTTCCAAATCTCATCCTCAGTGTGTCCCTCGTGAACATCGTAGATGTGATACGAATAAGCCCTGAAGTTCTTGAACACCTCCTCGCAGAGAGGACAGGTGTACTCAGCAGCTCTGTTGTTCTTGTGGTGGTCCCCCCACACGTGCGTGAACAGGGTGTACAGCATACAGAAACTCTCCTCACACACTGGACACGTGTGGGACAGGGAGTTGAAGTTTTGTTCGTGCTTCTTCAGGTGCTGGAAGGAGTGGAGGACTTTGTCACATTTGGGGCAGTGTAACGGAGACTTGGTTTCCTGTTGAGGTCCCTTGCGTACCCTGCACTCGATCATGTGTCGTGTCAGGAGTTGTTGGGAGGGGAACTGTTCACTGCAAGTATCACACTTCTTGCTGGTCTGGGTGTGTCGAACTAGCACGTGGTCTCGGAGAGAGGACTTGGAGGAGAACTTCATGACACAATGAAGACACTTGAAGCAGAAGTGTTTCGTCCGGGGCTCCACAGACTTCCCACACTTCTTACAGTCCTTAGACTGCTCAGCAGAGAAGCCGTGAGCGGTGTTGTAGTGCTTGTTGAGGATCCAGAGCTGGGTGAAGGTTTTAGAGCAGATCTCGCAGCAGTAAACAGTGGGAACTACAGGGCTGGGTAAGGGTCCCGTCCTCACGTGGGTGTCCAGTAAGTTGTCCACTACATTGTGGATAGTTCCAGTGGAGATGGCGTAGTGAGCCTCGTTCAGTAGCTCCTGGAAGGATACTTCAGTGTGCGCAGCAGCAGGGGAGTTGTCCACTGAGTATCCCAACTGTTGAGTATTGAGTTCACCCTGACCTTGTGGGTCCTCCTCCACCTCCACACCATCTAGACAGATAGTCTCATATTCAGAGTTACTAGAAGTGTCTATAATACTCCCTCCCTGCGGTGTATCCAACATGGTAGAGTACTGGTAACTGGAGTTACTGCTCTCCTCGCTAACAGTCACGTCTCCGATCAGAACATGTTCAGATACAGCTAAGGGCTCCTCCTCCTCCTCCTCTTCAACAGTGAACTCCTCCGTTACAGTCTGTCCCTCCAACACATCAGCCCTGCACATCATGGCTGAGGGACCTATTGAAAAGTGTAAACATCAGATTTTATGCTTAATATACATAATTATAGTCAAAAGGCTTTTCGCCCTATTTTAAAAGATAATGTATTTTTAAATACGAGAATTCGGAGGAGATATTTGATGTTTAATGAAACCAGTTAAATTCATGATGTTAATTTCATAACATGTTTAGAGTGTACAATCAAAATCAAACAAAAGAAAATATTGATAGATGAAGAATGCTGTGTGAGGTGAGTAATGTTAATATCATGGTAGCTTACCATACTGTGTGCACTGTGCACTAACCTATCCTCCTATCAAATCAAGCAAAACATTGGGAACATTCTAAAAAAGTGTAAGTACCAGTGCATACCGTACATACCGTAAGTAGCGGTACATACCGTACATACCGTAAGTAGCGGTACATACCGTACATACCGTAAGTAGCGGTACATGCCGTTATGAAAAGATGTAATAATTACATTCAAAACAGAAATCAAACAAAAACATAAACCATTTAAACAGTAATCACAACCACTATAATATCTATCATATATACGAAGCAAAAACTAAAACCCAATTCCTAAAAAATTACAAAGTTTTAAGCTAAATGGTTATGTATATAATACTCACGTGAAAGTCAACAAACCTAACTACTCTTCTCTTTGGGTGGCACAACACTCCAATACATGAGGAACTGAAGCACGATGATAGTGTTGAGAGAGAACACTGTGGTGCTGTTGAAGAGGATGAGAGAGTCGTCCACTTCCTGAATAACCGTGAACAGACGAGCCAGGCATCCTAGGAAGTTCATCAGACTGGTTATGAACGAGAGCTGGCCAGTGTGTCCGTTCATAAAGTTAGACTTTATTTGTAGGATCTGAAACGATTTTGGAGTAGATATATCTTTTGATCAAAACTATCATCGTTAAACAATATAACAGCACATTTCATAATTGAGCTCACATTTGTTGACTCAAAAAGCTAAACCTTAAACTATCGCATAAATAAATTTGCATTTTCCAACCTTGCTGAGAGCCATGAGGGGAATAGAGGCGGTAAGACAGAGAGTCAGGTACTGATGAGATAGAGTTGTCAGGAGCCAGGTAAGGGCAGGGATCAGGACAGGGGTCACCAGGAGCAGCACCTTGCTGGAAGTGTAGTGGAAGTACTGGGACAGCAGGATTATCAGCTGGAGCAGGATGAAGAAGCTTTCCCCCCACGTGCTGAACGGCAGGGACTGCGCGTAGTTATAGGACACCGTCACCTGTAGAGTGTAGAGGTTACACGTGCTAGATCGTGGGGACACTGAACGTGGAACATTAATTGTAATTATGGATTATTTAAATCCTCTGATTTTGTATTAATTCTAGAACAACGTAGGATGTTAAGCTCGAGCTAAAAATAAATCTTTATACAAATTCACTAAAATGGACGGACTTCAGCTTGACAGAGAGTTTCTGAAAAATCAGACTTACAATAACAACGATAGTTTCCAAAACGAAGGTAGTAAGAGATAGACCCGCAATTGAAGAACTGTTGTAAATCTTGACAATCTGAGGGAATTTGACGAACATGGATCCAGCCACAATAGCATACCCCAAACCCTTACTGATGATGAGTTTCAGGCAGTCTGCGTCGAGAATGTTGAACTTGACGAAGATTGTGTCCACACATTCCTCTGTCATGAAGATCAGCAGGAGGGGAGTGATCGCCTGGATCAGTTCTAGATACATGGTCGCCTATAGGTATAGAGGTGGGTTTAGATTTAGCATGGCAAATGGGGAATTTTAAATGTGGGGTTATCTCTCTGCAAAAAAGGAATAGTTGAAGTCTCAGCCTAAAACTCTAAAAGAGTGGCATTGAGATGAAGACGGGAATCCAGAGTCAACTTAGAGAGAAACTTCATAATATGATACAGTCAAATAAATCGACAATCAGAACATCCGTTCAATAGTAAAACATTCGTTAATAATGATGAATTATAAAATTTAAAAGTCTGCTTCTGGCGGTAAAAATATTGCCAAATAGATTTAAATCTCATCTTAAAAAGTAAATAAATAACCATAGTTATTAAGATAAGGCCTACAACCCGAACAGTTTCACACACCCAGTGGTTTTATCACTGTCTCTGGAGTGCTTCTCATTATGTTTAGATTTATCGTCTGTAACGTATGCTAGCAGATTCTGGGATGGGTGCCAGGCGACACAAAACGGAAATGCGTTACAAGACACGGTCGCTACCTTCTCTCCCGTCTCCACAAGTGCTATATCAATAACCAGATCCTCAGACCCGGCAGCCAGTAACCTGCCGTCGTGGTTGAAAGATAACGTCCTGACCGGCCACTCTAGCCTTGAGTAGGATGTTAGATAAGACAGCTCTGAGGCGTCCCATATGTTGATGAGCGCGTCCGCGCCGCCCGTTGCGAAGCGCTGTTTGTCGGGCGAGAACTTGAGACAGATACAGTGCGCGGTGTGGGCTGGGATTTGGAGGAGGGGCTCCAGTGAGGGGTATTGGGTGATGTGGATTGAACCGTTACCTGGGGAGATAGGGAGATGTTTCAGCGTCTATCACACAATTTAGAAATGTAGGACGTGAATAATTTAAAAAATATCTATTATCCTGAATCAAGAAAGAAATTTAAACACAGAGAGTGGTGAAAACTTATACTGAGTGTTCAAATCACCTGTGCGAGAATCACCTGAAGTGAGATAGAAATGCTCATCAGTATTGTTCCATCCAATCTCGTTAACCTCAAAATCGAACTGTTTGTCAGCTATGATCTTATGAGTCTTGTAGTCCACAAAACAGACCATGTCGTCCTTGTTCCCCAGAGCAATTGTGCTGCCGTCACTCTTCCACGTCATGTTGATAACTTCTCCTTTTGTTGTGATGCAGGCCACTGTTTTCTAAAGAGAACGTGTTCATTATTTTATGATTACAAATCTCATTCCGAGCACACAATCCAGTTTTTGAAAATATAAAACTTCTGAAGCCCCTCGTCGATATTCCATGCAGAAAATCTACGAATAGTTAGAAACCTGAGGAGTGCGAATGTCCCATAGTCGGAGAGTTTTGTCAGTGGAGACGGTACTGAGCATGTTAGGATCCGAGGGGTGCCATGCGATCTGGTCCACTGCATCCTCGTGTCCCTTCAGACTGAACTCCTTACTCAGTCTATCTTCTTTAAAACTCTGTACAAACGCTGTTTTGTCAAGAGATCCTGAGGAGTGGCTGATTAATATTCACGATTCGTCATTAAAAAGTGATGTTTAACTTAGTATTTTAGGTGTGCTGTGTAGTGTGTAGGGTAGGAGATGAGGATTTAAGCATTTTAAAAGTTATGCCTGAGACGAAAAAAATCTTATCTTAACCCCAAATATTAGATAAAATCAAGCTTACCTGAAGCGATGTATTTGCCAGTGCAGTTCCATGCTACACAGTGAGCTTTAGAATTGTGAGCTGAGAATTCCTTGGTTCTCGAACGTCCGAGATCCTTTCGAACTTTCTCGATGTAACTGGCAGTATCCTTACCTGCTGCTACCATCCTGGAGTTACAAGAGTTACAAACGTTACAAGAATAACAAGATTTACAAGAGTAACAAAAGTAACAAGAGTAACAAGAGTTGCAAAAGTTACAAAAGTAACAAGATTTCAAGATTTCCTAGTTATCGGTTGCACGTTATTTATTCCAAGTAAAGCGCGATTTTCGGATCTGAAAACAAAATATATTTACAATTAAAACAATAAAAAGACAATAAGAAAAACATATTATCGTGACAAGTATACCCCACTCTAATAATTATTAATCTTTTCGATTGCAACAAACCTATATACATTTTACAAGCATTAACAAAGTTTTAAATACACCAGTGGTTCCCCACTCTCAAATAATTAAAGTTTCCATTTTGAAACATCTGGAATAGCCCCCCGTAAAGGAAGTTATGATTTAAAACAATATCTACCAATAAATTATTTAGATACAACATTTAAGATAAGTAATATCAAAGTAGAAGATTAAAGATTGAATAATACCCGTACATACTTTGTAAGATCGGTAATTCATTTATTCATCATCTCATGCAAAATTCTTGATCACTGAAGGGGGCAGGGGGGGGTCTTAATGGAAATTTTCTCAAAATCGACTTTTTAGTTGTTTCTGATAGAGGGGAGTGATATCTATCAGATACTTTTAATCCAATAGAAAAATATTGCTCCTAGCAGAAATTATCGCCGGTAGAAGGTCAGCGCTTGTGTGTAATTGTATTGCGCGAGCGATTTTTGATCGCGTGCCCTGAAAATCGAGTCTAAAAATCTATCTTCTCCTACATTTTTTGAGCAATCACCCTCAAACTTTCAGGATATGTTCTAAGGATCATTTAGAAGGGATTGTCCGGGCAAAATTTTGAGATAGGCCTTTAAACATTTTTTATTCGATTTTAAAAATCTTGGACCTCGAAAAATCGTCAAAAAACCAGGTCCAAGATTTTCAAAATCAAATAAAAAATGTTTTAAGGCCTATCTCAAAATTTTGCCCGGACAATCCCTTCTAAATGATCCTTAGAACATATCCTGAAAGTTTAAGGGTGATTGCTCAAAAAATGTAGGAGAAGATAGATTTTTAGACTCGATTTTCAGGGCACGCGATCAAAAATCGCTCGCGCAATACAATTACACACAAGCGCTGACCTTCTACCGGCGATAATTTCTGCTAGGAGCAATATTTTTCTATCGGATTAAAAGCATCTGATAGATATCACTCCCATCTATCAGAAACAACTAAAAAGTCGATTTTGAGAAAATTTCCATGAAGACCCCCCCCTGCCCCCTGAATCCAAGTTATTGGTTATTATCATAGGTTATTATCTGAGGATCTTTGCAAATTATCATAGCTTTTATTAATAAAGAAAGTTTCATTCTATTCTTTACTAAACAATAATTACTACATGCACACAGACCATTTTAGAAAATATGCTAACCGTTAACTATGCTTGATCCTTTATCTCGATCGATTAAGCTTGGGCTTCTTTTCATGGAAAAACACTTTTCGTAGTCTTACAATAAATCGTAAATGAATTTAACAACCGCGTTGTTTCACACCATAACTCGAAGAGAATTGAATATGTCGGTCATAGAGCCATTGATACCAATCTGGGGCGTGACTCCTCCCAGCCTCTGAAAAAGAGTGAATCAAATATAAATGGCAGGGGAGGGCAAACATCAATCACCCGGCCCAGGTGATTATTTCTGGAAATTTACGACGTTGATCAGTCACGTAATATGACGTAACAGGAAATGACGTCACGATATATATATATATATAAATAATAATTCATATAGAACGCACCATGAGTTTAGCTCGGCAGATGTTCTGAAGTGATGGAGGATGGGGCTGTGTTCCCGGAATAATATTACAGTTATCTTCACAAACACAGTTCATAGCTCGACGCTGCTTAAACTGGGGAAACTCCCAGCTTATCATCGTCACGAAATCTTCTAATCCTGCACAGATATAAGTTTCAGCAACTCGCCTGTTTTACACCAGGGTTCTCAGACTCTTTTCCTAAATCTAGATAAAAGCTTAAAATCAAACTCTCTCCAGTGCCATGAGATCATAATCTAAAATCTACCAACCAACCTTCCTCGTATATAATCTTAACATTTTCCTTGTTCCGGGTCATGTTCTCCAGGGACCACACTCCCATGATCTTGGGTAAGTACTTAGCTTTAGCAGCCTCTACATGGAAGCCATGGTCCAGCTCAATCGGGGGACCAGGGTCCGTGTCTTGACAGGGTGGGATTGCGTTTGACCACGCTAGTTCCACGTACGGTTTCATTGTTATCTAACGGGGATGTGTTACTGTCTAAAAATTGTTTAGAACAACTTAAATTGTCGAATCACCAGAATAGCATACTTAAAAATATTATGGGATGATACAGAAATAATGTCACTATTCGGAGTACAGAAAAATCCCGATTTACCGCTTCCCAATTTACTGCAAACGCCGATTTACCACGGCTTTTCCCTTTCTCCCAGACTCCGCGGTAAATCCGGGTATTACTGTACTTCGAAACATATTTTTTGTTGTTGCTAGGAAATGAAACGAAGCACACCTAATCTAAATTAGAAATTTCGACAAAAAAATTTGTTTACCCAATAACCCATGAACACCCATTAAATTACTCGTACCATATGTATCAAAGTACCATATCTTACCCACAAATATTGCTTGACCACTTCAAACTTGTACTGTTGACTGGGTTTAAAGTTCCTTAGGAAGTTTCTAACAGAGGACGTCAGGAAACTGAACTCGCACAAACGCTCGTTATGTCTGTTCTAGAAGATGTGACATATTATCTTATCTACTAATAAAGTCAACCCCCAATTTACTGGGAGACTTATATAATTGAATCGAAAACCCTGTTTAATCAGACATTTTAATTCAATAAGATGCCTCTAACGGGGAAATAAGAAACTGCCCATAAATCGAGACTCACGGTAAGTATTCGTTTGATACTTACTCATCGTTATAATTTAGAAACTGCAACAATATCCATCTAACAATCTGCAGCAAATCATCTAAACTATTCAGTAACTCACCTTAATACAGTTAGCATGAGCTTTAGAATTTGTCCTAATGTCTTCAAGTGAGAAACCGAAGAGAAAAGCGACACAAAGACTGAAGAAGTAGTACGACGCCACGTTGTTCATCCTGAAATAGTTGCACTGAATTTTACTGGAAACAGAGTCTTTTCCGTAAGTTGTAAAAACATGACGTCCAAATAACCATCAGTCCTGGTTTTCGTTTTAAGAGAGTGTCTGACCAACTCCTCCACAAGATCTGGTATGGGACGAGGTGGACTCCATTTCTTCCGATGTGCCATTTTGGTAAAATTACAGAATCTAGGAAAACTCACACGAATGAGGAGAGTTGTGTAAGAATGTGTAGAATGTCTCGTCTGAGGAATTGGAGATGTGTAGAGGGGCTAGATATTAGGCACATCAGGGTGTTCAGCTTGAGCTGAAATTTGCGTCTATGAAGTTGTCATGGATTGTACCGTATAAATTTACATCATGGAAGTATTGATTTTGAAAATGTTAAGCCACAGGCCACAGTCGTGTGCAAGATTGTGCATTCACTATCTTAACTACGTTAGACCGCAATAGAGCTATAATTTAGCCTTTCTAGCCTCCATAAGTATTTAAAGACCTTATTAGGCAGTGGGCAGTAGATACCGAACGAATGAACTTCATGTAAAGTGGAAGAAGTTATTTTTATAGACATTCTGAAGAAGGAAAAACAGCTTTCAGTAAGATAACGTTTACACCTAAACAAATGCTTAGCTAGTCTTATCGAATATCGATGTTATTACTTATTTTCTGTGTGGCTTTGATACTGTGTGGCTGTGATAGTGTGATAGCTAGCTCGATCGAAGAGTAAAATAATATACGCGCGCTAGCTTATATATATCGATCGCGCGCAAAGCTGGGCTGCTGATTCACAATCAAAAGATTTCTCGCGTATTCCAAAAAAGAGACTATTTTACTGCCCCGCCCGCGATACTAGTGGCAACTAGTATCATGAGATCATCGGTGGCTTACCGGCAATCGCGTGACCCGAAAAACGTGTTGCTCCACAACAAAGAAGTCAAAAAATAATTCAAGTGGTCACTAACCTGCCCATTATAGAGGATCTCATCATTGCTGCTGGACAGATTCCTGGTATCAGCTATAACCTCGCAGAACCTCCTCATAAACCGGTTGTTATTACACAGCTGAACCTTCACACTCTCCATCTCAGCAAACTGGACCAGTACTCCAATACTCAGCTCCAGGAGGGGGTGGTTGGCGTTCAGGAAGCCGATAGGTGAAGTCTGGTGTTCTGAGTCGAAGAAGGTGTCAACTGCAAGAGGTACAGCACCATGTTCGTACCAATGTAGTCTGTCTCCTTTTGTGGCCAGGAAATTCCACATTAGGTTTAGGGTTAGGTACCGTAACATTGTTATCTGAAACATGATATGAAACTAGATTCGTACTACAAACATTGAAAAGTTATAAAAGCCATCATATTCGCAACTTACCCCCGTGGTCCCGTAACTCTCTATGAAGTGTAACGCTGTACGAACCTGGTGAACCTTGGCGGCGTCAGTACCGTTTTTACTGAGATGATACAACCTCAGTTGCTTGGCAGTTCCTAGGAACTTGTACGACAAACACTGAGTGTAAAAGTAATATCTGTTGTTATCACAAAACTCCGTCTGCCAAGGGTATAGTCCTGTTTCTACCATACTACTGTACCGTAATATCAGGTAATCTGCGAAGATAGTAATATCAGGTAATAACAGGTAATCTGCAATTATGTGTGTTACCAGCTGTAGAAGAACGATTACACTTCTGATTGATATTCTACGTCATAACACATGCTGCTGTTAAAAGTTATCAGAAACAATCTGATATTAACTTAAAAATCAAAGACTCATCATATGACTGTGTAAGACTAGTTAACAGATACAATGCATGTGTAGTATAACTGTAGTTTGTACATAAGAT